TATGACGTTTAAATTTATAAGTAATCAAAATTTTTTTAAAACAACTTGTAATAAAGGACAGTTATAGTATCTTCTTTTGGTATTTTTCTACTATATTAATATTTGACGACTACCTGTAATCAACGAATACTTGAATCGATTAACTGAATGGAATACGTGTATTCCGTTCAATCAATCGATTTAGCGCGGAAGGAGGTTACCCATCACTAAATAGTTCTTGTAACGTCATGGTGGATACATAAAATGTGGCACGCGCGGTTTTCATAGAAATTGCTGTACTTGCGGCGTCCATCTAGATATATGTATGTCTGTGGTTAGGTCCGAAAAAATAGGTTAATTTCCAATTCTATCTTTATAATATACCTAATGTTAGCATTCTCGCTTCTCAAGTGAAAGGTCGATGGTTCGATTTCCTGTGGCGGCATAAAGCTATGTCAAGAACACTCCAACCTTGACACGTAAGTTATGCCGCTCGCTAATAAGTCAATAAATACTGTAAATACTACAGTGTGACTGAAGAAAAAAGTAAGGAAGAATTTTACAATCTTATCGGACCAGCAGTTAACTATGAAGGAGTGTCAGATTCAAATCCCGAAAGGACGCATTTTGAAAACGAACTGTGTACTAAATTGGTGCTGCATAGACAAACGGGATCACTACCGAACCCCCGCAATTTATTTCGTTAGTCTGGTATTCATAGTACAACAAGGGGAACATGACATTATAATTTTTACTTTTAAGCCAATTATACAATACACATTATTCAGCTGGTAAATAAATCCAAAATATTCTATTTGTATTGAGTTATTAGGTTTTCGCGATTGTTACACATAGGAAATGAAACTATTTCAACCGTGACCATGGTACCTGTAAAGGGCCCGAAACGTTTGGTTTGTTTGAAAAAACAAATATACGCGATTTAAATCCGGAAAAATAGTTTCATTTCCTAATTCTATTTGGTTCAATTAAGATACATGCATGTGTGATATTAAAACTAAAAGAATACAAAATAATAAATGAAAAAAAAAATCTACATTATTATTTAATCAATTTATTTATTTAAATAAAAAATAACAATAATGAAATAGTTGCATTTGTTTCAATTCGTTTATTAAAGCGTTTTATACAGTCCGTTTCCCTAGTTGGCCGTTTAAAAAGCACTATGAAGTAGCAATTAGAATTTATGACTATTCTTAATTTTACGACTAAAAGTATTTATTTATTGCCGTTTTGATGATGGAACATGCCTTAAGGTCTGCTTGCTTTTTTATTGGCCTTGTTAGTCTTTATTGCTTGCAAGTTAGAGATTTATAAAAACGTCTCAAGTTTTATTAACAGCTCGCTGCCTTACGTCCTAAGTCCTTTTATAAAGGTAACTCAATAAATTCAGCACGTAGCGTAGTTATGAGATTACTTTGTGCGTAGTTAAATATAGGAGTTAAAGTTAACGGCACCGGAAAGGGAGTACTTATTTATTATACAATAAGGTAAAATATACAGGTAAAATACAATAAAAGCTTAACTTACTTACTAGAAACTAACACTAGGATAAAATTATATGAATAAAATTGGGTCCTCGCGGCAAGGTGCCCAAGATGCTGGAAGCGTTCCCCTTTTGTATGGATAGCCATTAGCATAGGCTAATGCGTTGCTCGAGGTAGTTGCTGGAGTTAAAGTTTAGAATATGATTCAATAGCATTAGAGCTCTATGTGAAAGAGTCCAGGGAAGTACTGCTACCGTGACTATTTCTCCCGCCAAGCAGTAATGTGAGCATTGCTGCGTTCTGGCTTTGATGTTGCGGTGATAAAATTACAGGCACAAGGGACTTGTCAACGTTATGTCTCAGGGTGCCGGGAATTGACGTTACTTCACACTGGGACAGTTGCTTCAACTGTACCAAGCATAACATAATGTTGGTTGTGATTGTGAGCATTGCTGCCATTTATGGGAATGTTCTGCTAAATACCAACTGACGACCTTGAATTCAGTTGAAGCGTGTCAAGAGGCTTATAGATGACTCGGGATGTAGTAGAGGCGAAGCTGCAGAGCCTTTAACACCACCGTAAAGCTGCCTGCATATCGGTATTCCACAGGGTAAATCACGGAGACTGTGCAATAGTATTACACCGATTTAATTCCGCCTTCCCCTTTCCATCATCAGGGGACTAACCACCGCTCCACCAATGGGGTGGATTGTTGCGAATATTTCAAAGATTCGCACAAATGGCAAACGGCTATGGATATCTCTACCTGCAGACTTAGTCCCTGAAAGCCTTTTGCTAGGTGAAAGTGAATAGGCATTATTTAAGAGTGCAATGTAACAACACTTGCCATCAAGATTAGAGTAAATTAGAGGCTCTTAAAGTTAAACTATTATCTGTGTAATAATAAACGCCATTCTGTGCTAAAGCTGTGTAAAGTTTTTCTTTTAACTCCCTATACGACGACGTGCCACTAATTTGTTTTAAGTCCATTATATTACCTTGTTCTGAGTCGTCCAAGTTCTCGCTTGCTTCCCACTTTGTAGTAAATAATAGATGTAGAGAACAGTATCTGAATTGTCATATTTAAAATTTTTGTATATTATGTGACTGTAGCATGTAGACTCCGCGAATGACCAGTAGACTGACCTCATAGACAGACTGACAAACGTCAATTAAAATGACTTTCTTACAATGAAAATGAAAAAAATTTCACTTACTTACATACATGAAATAGTGTAGTAAAAATTTATATTTTATTTAATAGTTTTTTGTTACAATTTATAATAATAATAACGCACACACTCAACATAGCCCCGCACTAAGGAAACCCTGTGTCGCGGGTGCCATGGACACACACATAGACAACCACAAATTACACCCAAACTCACGAGAGAAATAAATGTAGGTCATACAAATATTTCGCCCGGCCCGGGAATCGAACCTGGGACCTCTGCGTGGCAGTCCGGCATGGTAACCGTTCGGCCACGGAGGCAGTTTAATAACTAATAAAATAATTTTTATAACTAATAAAATAATTTTTCGATTGTATAATTTTGTTTTTTTTATATTGATCGATATATAATAAGAAACCATTTCCCACATGGGTTTCTAATAATGATTTTTCTTATCTGAGTACAGAGATTTTTTTTAGAAATATCTCGTCTGTGTTGTCAAAGTCGCGTAGTGTCGGAGTAAAATCATGTCGATGTAACATGTTGTCGGAGTAGCGTAGTGTCTGAGTAAAGTAATGTCGAAGTAACATATTGTCGAAGTAACGTAATGTCTGAGTAAAATCATGTCGATGTAACATGTTGTCGGAGTAGCGTGTGTCGAAGTTCAGTTAGTGAGTCATTTTTAAAGTCTCTGTATTGATGTCAGCAGAGTAGGTCTTTCACGAGTTATTTGAATGTCTATTAATCCCAACAGGTTATAGAGAAATGCAAATCAGAATTACGTATGTATGTATGTAAACACTTTATTGTACAACAAAACACATTACAAATTTTAAGCAACAATTTATAACGTTAATGTACAATGCGAGCTTATCACGTAAAGGGACTTCTTCCAACGTTTTAAATTTAATTTTTACATTATAATTTTCAACCGACTGAATAAACACAGCGTTTAATTCTTTTTGACTAAAGTTATACAGGCTAGTAAAATAGGGGCGTGTCAAATTATATAGGTAGTTACTAATATATTAATCAAAATTAATAATGTCAGCATTACAATACTACCCTCAATCGCAGGCAGTTAATCATGCGGCTCTATCATTTCCTGCAGTCTGCAATTAGAAACCTAAATGTATTGGGTCACGAGCATAGATATAGAAATCTATGGTCACGAGACGTCACGATCGTTCGACACGACCACGACTATCAATGAATTATGAATTTGAAATTGAAGTTATTATCTGCAATTGATTTTTTTTCAGGCCATCATTATCTGTCATTTATTTGTTTATTTAGTGACAGGAACATCAACTTAATAATAATAATAACGCAACATACTCATAGCCCCGCACTAGGAAAACCCTGAGTCGCGGGTGCCATGGACACACACATAGACAACCACAAACGACACCCAAACTCGCGAGAGAAATAAATGTAGGCCATACACGTACTTCTTCCGGCCTGGGAATCGAATCCAGGACCTCTGCGTGGCAATCTGCGGCATGGTAACCGTTCGGCCACGAAGGCAGTTTATTTTTACATGTGCATTACGTGTCTTATCTATGTAACACCAATCATGAACATAATTCGGATACCCAAGCCTATTACAGATGAATACAATTTATTTATTTATTGGCAGGAACATAAACATGTGTGTTACAATATGTACGAACTTAAGACCAACCATGAATATAATTTTGATACACAAGCCAATTACAGAGAGACTGAAGTCGATTTTTGAGTTACATACAAACGTTAATACTTTTTTTAAACAGAAAAATAATCGTGTCAATGAGAGTTCCTATAGAAAGTTTCTTCCGACTATTACCAATCGAATTGAATTTATTTTTCTGACAACATAAAAATCACAAAAATACTCACTACTGATCGTACCTTTTCATAAATGTGTGCGCGACTGCATGTAAGCGAAGTTTGTGGTTTCTGGCGTCGAAAGATTGCTCAAATAAACAGTATTCCTTCACCAATTATTCACCTGTTCCCCGTAATCAAGTCTCAAGAGTTCTTAAAGTACAACTATCTCGAAACAATGGTGTTCACAAAGTGATGCATCGCCCAGATTGAAGCAATTAGTCCCGATAACCTGGGGCGGTGAATAATGACCGGCTATTTGTACGTTTCACATTCAAACCCGCAGAACAACTTGTACTAATGTCTACTATCTTCGTTCAATGTTTTTCCGACCATTGAGTTACGAGTATAACCCTCTTTGAGCTACTCGGATAGGAAACATGGCATTAATAAAAGTCTTGCATTTTTAATTAATAGGAACATGCGTTGATTTTTGTTTGCAATATTGAATGACAAATTGTTTGTTTGCTGCAGCGGAGGGGAGCCTGTCAGATTTTGCGGTGCGCAAAGTCCACTACACGGTGAGCAATCCTCTCAAAAAGAACCTCTTCACTGCTGATACCAGGCAAGTATCTTCATGCTTTGTAATTGGGTTAGTAGATCAAGTAATCTAGATACATAGATAGATAGTGTATTGCCACAAGGACATACAACGATATGAAACAATAAAGATAGCAAAACACAAGAAAAACAAACAAAAATTAGAATTAACGGTAACAAAACAAGCAAACAAAAAGAAAGAAATCAAATAAAAATGCAAACAAATAGCTAGTAGTTACTAGCTATTTGTTTTGTTAGTCGACTGGTACAAACTTAATATTGAACATGCTTCCATGTATTTAAGGACAGCATGAAATGGTTGCGAGGTAGAATTATAAAGCCAAGTCAACAAAAATAATTTTGTGCGTAATCTGACATTTGGTTCTAGTCAACAATCAAAAGCCGGAAATAATATCTTGTTAATGAAATTTGGCCACGATTATAGACAGAGTAAAGTTACTCTGTATTTGTATTTATCTGCATTTCAGCGCTCATATTCAAGTGAATATGAGCGCTGAAATGCAGATAAATCTAATCTGTAACATTGTTATTGTGATACTAGACCTTTCCCAGAAATCTATCAAAATGAGAAATGTCTAATCCATCATAAATAATTAAATCTTTCAGACCACCATGCCTCAGAAACATGTACGAGAAAGCGTGCTCCGACCGTCTATCGAATTCAATACTGGACCAACTACGAAGAGACGCTCAACATTCCCCGTATCTTCTATGTACGCCTATTTTAAGCACCAAAAGAAGACGTCTCTATCAGAAGGTTGACGTTGAAATTGAGACTCATATTGTAAGTATATCGAAATTGGTCCAATGTCGTTAAAGAAACCAATTCGGATTATCTTCACGTCTCGTACCAATAAATCGTTCATCGTGTGTAACTTGCATTTACTATGGTAAATCAAGTTTCTTATCTATCCCAATAAAAATTATTTCAATATTGTGGGCGTGTTGTTTCTGTTATAGTTCATTTTGGTGCAAGGAGATTGAACTTTCAAAACTTTCTGAGCATTTTTTCTGTAAACAGGTCTAACGCCGTTGCTACTCACTTCTGAAACAATGTTTTAAAACAAATAAACAATAAGTGCTACTCAGAACTCAAAATCGTGATTATGCAGGATTAGTATTCTAAAAATAAAAATCTAATTGTTTCCAGCCATCCGTAGTTGAGCATCTCCGGAAATGGACATCGAAGGAGGCCATAGGAGACGTGACGGCTTTACCAGATGCCTCAATGAGAATATCCAGCGGAGTCACTCTAACTCTTGACGAATTGTCGGAATGTGGGTCAGGTGACGATGAACCAATTGACCATAGACTGCCCAGCCCCGAGGAGCAACTACGTGTCATCGCTTCCAAGTAAGTGTCCTCATTAGTCTATATACATATAGTCCAACAGCCATATGTATATATTTCAAATTTTATGTGTCGTGTATGAAAAGCTGTTTCTCTAAAATTTTAGATACTCTAATTTTCTTTAGTCTTGTTATCACTAAGTCCACCTAAACAATGTTTCAGATTCCCACCGGAACTAGTCGCGATCGACACATCTGGCAAGTTCTTTGACAGAATGTGCAGCTCTCGGAAGTCTCTCGTCATCGAGAACGGCGCGGGTGAGACCGACACGGTGAAACGTAGAACACGCTCCAGAAAGCCCCGGGGTAAAAGACGCAACACCATATCGGGCACTGATCAGAAAGAGCTTAGAGAGGCTATAGCTGGGTAAGCTTCTAGTCTGCACCTTACACTTCACTTGCACAGGTTACATTATCTCTCACTTGTTATTTTTTCTTTGCCAATTAGATAGATAATGTAATCTACCAAAGCGATTTAATTATAACCATTCAGCACAGTACTTGTACGTGTGGAGCTTTAAAAATGTTCCAATTAAAATCTTCAGCACATAACCTGTTGATAATACTATCTTGTGCTTCTGTGAATACATTATGTTTAACATTGACTGTCCTTGTTTTCTTACAATTAATGTTCCATTTTAATACTGCTGAGAAACAAGGACAATCAGTTGTTTGTGCACTTGAACACTAATAGTGCCATTTGTCATTAGCTTCATGATTATTAATTACATCTTGAAAAGCGCCGCTGTTACAAGACTAAGCGATGTTTTTCAGACTTCCAAATATAGAACTGCCTCTAGCGTGTGACTAATGCTTTGCTTGGTTTGTTCTATCGTAGCGATTCATCAAATGCCGCGGCTTCCGAAGAGATTGAAGATAACACTGTCGTCAGATCGCGTTCTAGCGATTTGCTTAAGAAGAGTCCAATCGATCCGGTGACAAAGAAAGGGCATTTCAACACGTTAAAACAATGGGGAAAGAACAGGTTACGTATGATTGGACGATCGCCCAGTGCCAGCAGAGATAGTTGTAAAGATATTTTGAAATCTGAAAAGAGCAAAGACACGAAATCTCCATCTAAACCAGAAGATACTCAAATACAGGAGACAGTGACGATGCGAAAGAAGCGGCAAAGCGAAGAAGATCGTCGAACGCATCAGAGATGCGCGTCATATTCCTCTTCGGAAAAGAGCATAGCGCTAGCATCTGCAGTGCAAACAACAGCGACCATAAATATAGGTGTCAAACTACGAGGAACATCGGCACAGCGCCGTTTAAGACGATCTGGCATTGGCAAAGACGAGCCAAATTCGTCAAGTGGAAATTGGTCCGCCAGCTCCGAATCTGGGCGGACTAGTATAGGTTCAGAAATAACCACTACTACAGTACCCCCTAAAAGTACAACTTCAGCGGCCACTTCTAACAATTCCCTAAACTTCCATCACGGCCCACCGAGTTCAATCATCAGTCGAAGAAAATTCCTCAATACATCTGGTTCAGGCAGCGTCACTAGTGAAGGCACACTTACACCTGACATAATTCACGACTTGCATGAAGATTTAGAGACTAGTTCTGAATTCTCCTGCGACACCGAAGGGTATTACACTTCTTTCCATATGGACTCAGGGTTGAAAACTTTAAAAGAAGAAGAAATATCTCCATGCACTCCAATGCATACGAGCAATGCTTTATCTAATTCATCTAATAGTCAAAATATGACTGCAGAAAATGAATACGAATTGTTTGGTAAAGGATCCACAAGTACAACGACAAGTTCTGCTGGTACAGTTTGTACAACCCTCATGGCTGCCGGAAGTGACAGGTCTCTTGGTCCTATCGTACCGGAAAGAAAGAGTTCCTTATCTAAAATTAACAGAAGCAGAGGCAGCAGCATACAAAGTGCAAACGCGAGCTTGGACAGAAGCTTGAACTCCTCTTTTTCAAAGTCGCCTTTTAGTAGCCTAAAATACCCTCTGCGTTCGTATACTGATAAACAAGTCTGCAACCTTTCCTCACCGGAAATCAGTGCACCCACATCAACCATCACTATAACGCGTAACGTCGGCAATCACTCAGAAATAACCGCGGTTGCTGAAATCCATACTGAGACTGACTTGGAAAGCGCTAAGAAAAGTACAGGAACTAGTTCACCAGATTCTGGTCACAATACTTCTAGCTCACCTATTGAAGACTCTGTTTCTAGTGCTCACGGAAAAAACAGCTTGTCAGAGCAGGATTATTCTGAATCCTCCGATTTAGAAGGCACAGACCGAATTGAAAGAATAAGATACAAAACTACAATCAACAGCTCGAGGATACCTTCCATGTGTGTGATTACGCCTTCAAATTCAGACGACGAAAGTGAAACAAGCAATAAAGATTCTGAATCTAACAAGCAGCAGGATACTGTACTAGAAACTGCAGTTAAAAAGGCAGGCAGTCGTCCTAAGTTAGATTTGCCCATTGAGGAAAAGCCCAAAGATGTAAAAAGTCCGACAGAAACAACCAAACCCACTGGCAAATCCACACAATTGAATTTAAGATCATCTTTACTACCACTGAACAATCTAATGTGTAAACTGAAAGGAGTACTTCCACACAAATTATCAATCAAAAAGTCCCCAGCTCCAAAAGAAGTTGAACCTGTCGACAGTATTTATGACGCTGGTGATTACGTCACCATAGCAGATGTTAAAAACAACAATCAGAAAGCAAGCCTGAATAGAGGAATTTATGGAAACAATGACGTCATACGAAAGAATCTTCAAACTGTACTGTCAGGAAAGCTTCCAGACACAGAATATGTGTCACTCAACGAATTGCCAAATTGTCTAAGTGAAACTAAAGATTACCTGGAACATGCTTTGGATGAGAAACCATCACCAGTATTAGAAGAGATACACAAAAAAGGTGCCAAAGTAACCCTTGACTCTCATGGCCAAGTAATATATTCTTCGGACACGTTGAAGCGTCGCAAAGGAGCTCACACGACTTTCGAACCGGGACCATTTGTTCAAGAAATCTGTCCTACAACCACCGTCATTCAAAGAGAGACTGCTGATGTTGTAAGAGTTGTTGATGAGACTGATTTCCCTTACGAACCTCCACCGCCTTCAAGCAAACCTACTTCGCCACAATTAGGAAAGATGATAATCCGTGCGCCAATCGTGCCTGATGGACCTGTGACTACCGAATTTATAACTCTTCCACCACCAAAGCCTAGTACAATAATAACTGCGACTCCAATTACTGAAACACCTACGTTATCCAGTCCAACACCTGTAGTAACTAAACCACATGATACCCAAGATCATCAAGATCTGCCAAGGGTTGTAGAAGCTATAACTAGGACAGGGGCTTACGTAAATATACACGATGCGGAGGGCGTCAGCTTGTCACCGACGAAAGACGATTTAGCAGGTAAGAATCTTTGCTCAAAATCTATTACGAAAAATTTTAATAAAGTAAACTTAAATAATACAGATGCTCATTTAGATGATACTTACAGAGAAATTATTCCATTTGTTCCAAATTTTCAAACGCCCATTATGTTACAAAAGTCTCAACATGAGTTTAATAGGCCAGGGATTAAAGCGGCTGAGGTGTTAAAGATGTTCTCAAATAAATGCAATGGTGATAGTAATGGAGACTTATTGAGTCAAAACGTTGTAAATGGAGATAATCTCGAAAAATCTTTAAACAATAAAGTTAAACGGAGCGACAGTTACAAATTAGCTAATTCACCTTTGATGCCTATTAAAAAGTTACTTAAATTTGAAAGTTTCACGAGTTCTAAAAAGGTTGACTCTTTGGAAATGATACAAGCGGAAATTACCGCAGATTTACTGCGTGACGAAATTAATTATCCTCCTACTGTGAGTCCAAAACTGAATCATAGAGATTTCTTAAATCTATCTGATGATTGTGAATGCACGCAGAGTGATACGTCCTGTATCGATGATAAGTTTGATGCAGAGTTGTCTGCCTTGACATTAAGTCCGTTCACCACTCCGTTATCTAAACGCCATACAGTAGCAATATTACCTGACACTCGAGATACTTCTTTAGATATGCTTACAGCAATATTAGATTCAGACCCTGATGATGTATGCATTTTACACTCTCCGCCATCTTGCCCTCTTTCGCCGAGTAAAGTCACTTTACCTTTCGATGGTTCAATGCATAGAGCTAGGATTTTGTCTATCTCGGAAAATGAGTACGGTACTGAAATTTGGTAATCTTTACTTATTTTAATTTTTAGAAATAGTTTAAGTTCTCCGTTTTCGGGAAATGTATCTGGTTCCATAGTAAATTTGTACTTGAGGTTTTTATAGCTTACAGCTAGCCTGTTTAAATTCTAGAAACTGTATTTCCTATGTTACCGACTTCCAAGTACACTTCTGTGTGCTCGAATATTTACGCTTATTTATTATTTCTTGCCAGTAGGTTAGTGATAGAATTAAAATTTTATTTAGATTTTTTTCTTTGTATGTACCAAAACTTTAATTAAATCCGTCCATTGTAATATATATGTGACTGCAAAATTCGTCTTCCACATTTTGTAGAATTTTCTTATTCTGTGATAGATTTTATTTCTAAGCTTATTACGACATGGTTTGTGTTTTGTTTTGTATCAGTAAATACTCATCGACAAAAATAATTGATGATCACAAACATATTTGCAGTTAAATATAGGTCACGTTCACTACTGTCAGTATCATTCTGCAGTTATGACCGGGGTCCCAAAAAAAAAGAGGGACGGCAAATTATATCTTTGGCAACTTTTGTGGTCATGTACTATTTACGCTTTCGCCTGTTTCAACTCCTCAATAAAGCAACTTGATATATAGTACAAATTATTGGCATTGTATTTGGTTATGGAACTGCAAAATTAATTTTGTAATCATTGATTATTTCTACAATGTGTTGTGTGTTGTATATTTGTAAGAATCACTGATGCATGGTGGCTTTCTTCACCGCAGACAACACAGCTTTCGAGTGGTTCATATACTTCTTATGTAAGTGCATGGTGTGTTATTCTGTGTTCCTTACGTTTTGTAAATAATACCATTATACAACTATTGTCAATTAACGCACTTTTCATTTAATATTTGGTGTCGATTTAGCTGTTCATTTTACTTAAACGAAGTTTACTAATCATTTATCCTATCAGAAACGATGACAAACGATGTTTGTTGGATTTTTGAATTTATTAAGCAAAATGCGCTAAAAATAGCCACCATTACCACTCCTACTTCATTCTCACTGTACTCATACATTCACCTTGCACTGGGCTAAAGTTATGCTCTAAAAATTAATCTTGTACTATCCAAGTTTTGTATCAGAGTTGAATTTTCACATTAATAATTAGGAAAAAACTGTAAATATATTCGATTGTTAATTTATAATAATTCCCAGGGATCATAACATCTAAAAATAATTAACTTTAAAGTTTCTAACTTGTGAATAACATGACTAATTTGTGAATAACACACTTCATTTCAAAGATGTGTTTCTTTTGTGTCCATAACATTGAGAATGTTGACACCACCCTTTTAATTGCACATTCCCTGCATCGCTTGCACAGAAGAAGGTAGCTTCCAAACGCACCTTAACGACAACTCAAAAGGTAAAGTTTTGTTGCTTTTTTGGCATGATCAATTATTTTAAATGCATGGAAAATTACTAACAAATTACCACTAAATAAGAATTTTGACTTGAAGGAAATAGACATGAATTAACTGAAAATTGATTAACACCAACGCTATTTAAATATAACAAAACAGTACAGAGTACTAAAAAACCGACCTCAAAAGTGAGCCGACCTCAGAGGTGGAATATTTTCTTCGAATTTAAATGGCACCACATCAAGTTACCTTCCTTCCAACAAAAAAGAATCATCAAAATCGGTTCACAAATGCCGCCGGAGTTATCGCGTAACATACATACAAATAAACTAATTGAGAACCTCCTCCTTTTTTTGAAGTCGGTTAAAAATACTAATAAAAAGATAAATTGAATAATGAGTCAATTCATTCATTCATTTTATAACTAACAATCCATTATAGTCAAACATAGAAAAATATGCCATGCACCATTAAATCACGTATTATATACTAATTCGCAATAAGTATCCACCACTGTTTTAGCTGTACTTTGTGTTCATTATTTGCACGGTTGTAACTAATCTAATAGAGCATTATTTGTATTACCTAGCTATAAGCTTTTGGGACCACTTGGATGTTACGTACAGAATGATTTTTGTATATTAGAATAGCTTCTTATGATAGTTTTTTTTTCAACAAGGTGTTACAAAAAGTACACACAAAGTGAAAATTTAAGGATGACTGAGATCCTCTCTCTGCCTATTATACTATTATTGTAACATCTTACAGCAGGTAATGTACTCCATGTACAGAATATTACTATAATAAATAGTATGGAATATTTAACTTTTGTATCTAAGCTTGTTGATACAAATAACGCCTGTGCCTTTAAACTGTATTTACTGTACATAAATATATCAGGCATACTGTATTATACTTTAAATAATGATTACGTCATAGGTGTCGCGTGTTCATTACAACAGCCGGGATTTTTCACGGCATGTTTATAATATTGCGAATTGTCAATTTTTCACAACATTTCGTTCGAAAATACTGGATTATTTCCCTCACTTGTTTAGATATTATCGGAATACCAGTATTTTAACGTTACATAGGCCTTATTTGTATCTAGCCCCTTTATATTTTATGCCGCCAATATACTTATTAAGAATAGAGCACAATATCTTAGTTATTGCATGCTTTTAAACTACACAGGGTTAATTCATTGTTTTTATAATTTCAGACTATCGACATTCCAGTGCTGACAACCCCTACTTGAACATACCGCAAAATCTAGTCCAAAAGCGTCCAACGGTGGACTTTAACGCTATTAACCCCACCTTACATAGGCATCACACTGCGCACCTCCGCGGTAGACATGGAATTGTGAATTATGAAAACCCAAGTCGACAAAATGAGCAACCAAAGTTCTGGACACTTCCTAAAAGAAGCGCCTTTGAACAAACCGTTCCAAAACCTTTGACGGACTTAAAAACAGTTCATTATCCTACAAAACCTTTCATGCCAACCGATCAGCCTGTCACGATCCAGGAAGATTCCATCAGGATATCTCCTATTGATCCTCGCACTGCCGGGCCTTTCAAATCATCTACTCCATCTAACAAGGACAGCGTAGTCGACTTAAGCGCCAGAATGTTATCTCCAGTAAAGTCAACAATGACCAATGAAGAACTCTACGCAGTTATTCACAAAAGTAAGAAGAAATTGAACATAAAAGACAGTGCTGAAAGAGCAGAATCCCCTGCTTTGTCTTCCATTAGTTTGTCTCCGGTCGGTTCAGAAACTTCTTTGTACTTGAAAGGGACTCAACGTCATCCCGAAACTGGGTATCTGGGAGACCCAAGGTCTAGAATGAGTTGGTCACCAGCTGATAAACAAAATGTGCCTATGTTTGCAACTGGCCCTGCAGTCGCGCAACAAAAACAAGAAACCTGTGCTGACAGACACGGACCCGTGCCTCAAACTTCAAGACTTGATTTTAAGAAACTCCTACTCCAACACAGTGTAAAACTCAATACCCTAAATCCACAAAATATGACCAGCAAGTTATCTGCTGTGGAACAACTAAAACTTTCCAAAGACAAAACACAGCCGCAGGCGTCGGCTGTCAATAGATCGCAAGTTAACATTCTGGACCTAAGTGGGTCTCCAAAAACCTACACGCATAGAAAAGTCATAAAAACCAATCCACAGCCTGCTTCACCGGGAAGAACAAGTGCACTGATAAAAGATCATAAAAACACTCCTAAAATACTATTATCACCCAAATCTCAGTGGCGCTTCGCCAGTCCAAGATCAGATGTCCTATCAACCCCTATACCTGAAGCGAATAACGAGGACGAATCAAACAGCTCTGGTGAAAAACGTGACACTTCTCCAAACCCACCGTCAAAAACCATTCCTATTGTTACGAACCAACATTTTGGAGCACGACGAAATCTCATTCCCATAAAGGAAAAAAATTTCGGAGCCGATACAGATTTTCATGATGATCGGTTTGACAGAGGTATATTTCCTTTAAACACTGGATTATCAAGATCAGAAATAATGCAAGCGAAGCGAGCAGAGTTCTTTAATAGCCCACCAGAAGCGTCTCCTCCCAAGTTTACATCGTTTAAAAACACATCGACGGCTGGCCCGTCAGGTTTACGAAGCAAAATTTCTCCAGAGAAGAGAAATACTTCACCAACTACATTAGAAACAGCTTTATGATAGTTTCTGAATTATGAGGTGCTTAACGTGGATGCATTTTCAATTGAAGTAATTAATTACAATAATAATTATTATGTAAATAAGGCAGGTAACATAAATAGAAGCTTTAATCTAGTCTGTTCTTGCTAGAAGTGCCATGTCTAATGGCACAAGTCGTCGTACGATTATAATCAGTTTTTTATATATACTTAATTACTTAATGTTCATGGTATTAAGCTCAAAATCGTATTACATTGCTCTAAGGGGGCCAATTTTGTTTGTGTTGAATGAATGAATGGTATTGGAAAACAGACGAATAGTTTTAAAGGTAATTCTTAAGTATTTATTGAGTACATGTGTACTTTGTAAGTAGTGTTTTGAACTTTTTCAAAGTTTTTTAAGTTATTCGGAATACAATTTTAATTAAATGTTTTGAATGAATAAACTTTGTTCTTTTATTCTTTCGGTGTCCCCGTCAAGAAGCAGTTTACGTGGCGGCATAGCAATGAGGCATAGATTATCGTGGATATCTTTTTTAATCGTAGATTTAATCATTTTTCCTATGATTTTCGCTTAGAGGATGAAAAAAAGATTATCGTCAAATATGTCAATCCACTAACGTCACGAAGCTCAATTAAATCTAAAAATATGAGTGCCGTTTTATAAAAAAAAAACCTTACAGCAACTTTATTGTATGAGTTACTTATTTATAATGTTTTACAACTTCCGCCACTATCTAGACTATAATTTCGTTGACAAGATTCCACCTGCTGGAAACCAATGAAGAATAATCCTATCAGTGATAGTTCGATGGGTGTAGAGCACTGTACCACGAAGCTCAGATTCTTCACACTCGTTGTTAACACAGCTGATTTGATTAACGTAGAAACAAATCCGATTTTGGGGGTATCACATGCTCTCGTTGCACCAGTGTCTATATTTACCATCTATATATTTTACGTACCGTTTGTTATTGGCGGTATAAGAGGCAAGCAAGCGTCTTTGCTTTTACAGATCTATGCTTTGGTCACTTGTTCTGCACTTGAAATCTCTTTGTCAATACTTGTCTTCAATGAGTTGATGCAGTACGAAAAAGTTAATAAGAATTCAGGTTTGGTGTTAAACGGGGTACTCCCAGCAATAATATCGCTATTGTTACTCTCGGACTTAGTAGTGACTCTGTTTTCAAATAGACCAGTTTCGCCACCACAGACCTTATTGCCAATAATAAAAGAAGCTCAAGAAGCTCAAACAGAACAAAATATTGTACAAGTACCGAGGCAGCTTTCCCTATGATTGTCATCAAAAGTTGGCACTGCGGGATAATATATTAAAGTCACTTGTCACAATCAGTGCAGATAGTTTTATTTGTCACCAACAGCTCCTTGTAAAAGAGTTCATCCAGGGAAGTACTGCCACCTTAACTATTTCTGACGCCAAGCAGTAATGTCAGCATTACTGTGTTCCGGTTTTGAAGGGTAAGTAAGGGTGCTGGTGAAATTACAGGCACATGGGACTTGTTAATTTATGCCTCAGAGTGACGGGCGTTGGGGCAGTGCGCCTCAGATCTTTGCAATTTAAAGCTCTATGTGGCATTGCAACTGTTATGGACAGGCGTGTAGCTTACCATCAGGTGCACGACTTGTTCGTCCCGTCACTTGATATCATAAAAAAACATTTTCCTGTGATATAATTTACGTCCAGAATAAGTATTTTCAATAATGTTACTTTTATGTTATGTTAATGTTAATTTATGTTTAAATACTCGGAACAACTTATAAACTACAAACAAGTGTAAGTAGCATATTCACGCTTTATGCAAATCATAAATAATTCGTATTTTATAGTCTATTATTTAATTTAATAATGCGAACAAGAACAGAGTCCGATGTGATTATATAGCGAAAAGTGAATAAGTACGTTGGAGAATAATTTCGTTATTCAAACTAAGGCCTATGTAACGGTGTTTTGACAATTTATACATATATCTTATTTCGTTTCTAAATTATAAAATCCAAACAACCGTCGATCTGACATTCACAGCGAATAAGATCGAACGAGATGTACATACTGTCCTGAGAATAAGTAGTCTTGCACATAGATATTTGTTCTACGGATGAGTCGAATTATACATATAAAAATTTACAGTATTGGCACAATAGCACAAAATAAAAATAACTAATGTAACTCAGCATTGCTACCTTTTAGTCTTTATCTGTAACTATTAGCTACAATTGTTGCACCAAACTGATAAGTTGAGTGTATGTATACTGTTATAAACGTATGCTCACTTCACTTTAAGTGGCTGCACCCACTATTTGATGTGAATAAAAGAGTGCAGCACCTCATTTCTAAGAAGTCATTTGACTGTTCTAATTCACATTACAAGGTTAAATGTTTTAAAATTGAAACTAGCACACAAGGCAAGTAAAAACATTTTTTAAAAGTAATTATTTGTTTATTATTTTATGATCAATTACACTAAAGTTATTTTACTGCAACATAGTAACACACATTCTGCCCCTGTAAGTTGAAAGGGCGCTTGTGACAAAAAACTCAAAAACCGAGGAGGAAATTATGTTTAAAGAAATTAAATTAAATTAAATAATATCTACTTTTCTCTTGCAGTAATTTCATACCTTATCCACTGAGGAAAAAATAAAACAGTGGATTGATCGCCTGTTTTACTGACCAAAGCAGTATACATAACAATATTTTTGAAAAAGTCTCATGCGTCTTTTCAACTAACGGCGGCAGCATTGATGTCATTATGAAAAGAATTAAGGAGCTTCAGAACAAAGATAAATTTCGGCTAATCTCGTGAATGGATTTGTCACATTGTGTTCAGAACTGTGCGTTTGAAAATGTATTTTGAAGGAGGATTTAGCGGTTGGTGTTCAAGTTGGATAAATTATTCATAGAAACATACAAAATGTACCATTTGGCAAAAAAAGAAGACAAAATGTAACTCATCAGTTTTTGTTCCAACGCTCTTCAATTATCTTTGTTGTAATAAACATAAGACTACATATAAATATAAGCTTGTTCTCTTATATAGAACGAGTTTACAAATAGAAATGCTATGCACTCATTGTGATCAAAATGGAACTTTACTGCAAAATTAGTGTACTGAGCTAAGGGGTACACTTCTAATGCAAGATTGTGTAACATAAGAAATGCCATATTAACCGAAATTAATTTTGTTGTGATTTTTTGCCTATACCTCACTTCATGTTCAGCCATAATAACCAATTGTAGTCCTGTAGTAACAAAAAGAGAACAACAACTGTTTAAAATTACATAACGTCAGGAGAAAGTTAAGAGGTCTAAAATTCTATAGAGCAATTGACCAAGAGATGGATGACTCCAATGAACACTATGCCAACTTTGTGGACCACCTCTCTGGTCGACCTGGGTGGACCACGGGAAATTATTTCATTGCATAGACCACCTATGTCCACCTCGATGGACCACGGAAATTTTGTTCTTTCTTTGGTCAGTTTCTGTTATTTTGTATTTATGTACTAGTATTATGCTCCCCAAATTTTGTGAAACCATAAACAAAAACAAAATTAAAAAAAAACAATTTTGTGAAAAAAAGGAACAATAAACAAAATAAAAACAGAACAGGTCCAAAAATTAAGTTGGCGTAGTATTCATTGGAGGTGTCGAGATGCAGATATGAGAGCTATTAAGGAATTATCTGATTACAAAAGTACTCATGTCTCTATGTCACCTAGGACGTACACACTTTGATACAGAAAAAATCATAATCAATATATGGTGTAATTAAGCTTGACTTTTTCTTTTTCTGGTTCTTATGGATGGCCAATTAACTTCCGCAAGTTAAGAGTTATTGGCTTATCAGACTTTACCTATATAAAGTATAATAAGACAGTATGGTAACTCCATTCATATGCAGCAGCACGGATTATATGGATGCACTCCCGCCACGCGCCACATATGGACACACACATTCCCATAATAACGAAAAGCACACGATGGGTGGATGGATGGGCGCACACATACACACCACACTGCTATCTTTGTATGAACTTACCATTCTTGTCTTATTATACTATGCCTATACACTGACAACAGATTCTACAATCACACACATTTCTGAAATAATAATAAAACTTAGACTATAGAAAACTTCAATAGAATATTTACTTTGCAACAATTACATTAAATCATTACATGAGTAAATAATAATATGAATATCATTGATAGAATATTGATTCTATTTTGAGAAACAAATGCCATTTGAATTTTGTTAATGAACACCAAGCATAGTATATAATGCTCAGTCATTTTTCATATACTTCCGGACACATAAATCGAGCCACCTCGCATTTTTGTCTTAAAGGGCTAGAATACAAAAGTAGTGTTATTGTCGAAGAAAAAGATTTCCCTCGGGTTTTGCAAATCCAAATTTGCAACAAGATTCAGGGAAGACGTTTAGTATACTGATTTCAAAATTGCTTAATTGTTTTTGATCAATCAAACATTGTGTAAGTTTAGGGCACTCAATACTGAAAATGCGAGGTGGCTCGAATTATGTGTCCGGAAGTGTATTTCTAAGAATGTTCTTGAATACAAAACATAACCTACAAATCACTTTGCCACAGTAAAATAACGAAATAGTTTTAAATGTCATGAGTCAATTGTCTTATCACATTTCGTGATCAGAAAACCGGCGCTATTTGTTCATTGGCGGTCCATTCATCAAAGGTGGTCGCATTTGACCCATAGGTCCCATGGGGCCCATAGGTCCCATGACTGGGCCCATCATTGGTGGCCTCATCCCCATGCCCATCATTGGCGGCATCGGGCCGTGTGGTCCCATCATCATGGGCGGCGCCATTGGCCCTCCAGGGCCCATTGTTGGTGGTGGAATCATTCCCGGCGGTCCCCCCGGTGCTGCTACTGGTGGTCTGGGTCCACCCGGCCCCATAACAGTCGGATCCCAGGGTGGTGGTATAGCCGCGCCTTTATTACCAAATGGATTCTGTGCAATCTTTCCAGCTTTGAAAGCTGCTGTGGTAGCGTCGATGAGATGTTGTGCTTGTTCCTCCATCCATTTTTGATAGTAAAATTTTACATTATCCTTGTGTTTTCTACCGGTACAATGTGTTTTTCTTACACTTGGTGAGTCGTGCGTTAAATATGTGTCACAATAATCACAATAATACTTGGGCATCTTGCTTAGTCAGATTAAATAAAAAGTATTTAGTATTACTTCAATTTCGCGAGTTTTGACAGTGACAGTTCATGGCATCGGCACGCACGCATCATCGAGCAGTTTCAAGGAAATTCTTATAATTGCGTTCAGATTTAAAAATCCAAAGTGAACTATTGAATTGAAAAAGTATATAGGACGCCGCATAATAAAGTAGTTGTAACAGTAGATAGTGTTCCCAATTCTTTATTTCACTGTTGATGAAATAGAACTAGAGTAACATAAATTATGTATAACAAATCAAATGCCACACATGTTAATTATTATTTTTAAAACGCTCATTTGAACGTATCTTAAAGTAGAGATGCGGAATGTTCTTTTTTTTTTAAATATCTGTTGGTTGCTACGACGTTTACTATTGCTACTAAAAATGCCCATGATTTTGTTCAAGTACAAATTAGTTACATGACTCCGTCATTTGAAATCATCTCTTCAGCAATTATTTATCATTTTAACAACATTAAATATTCGAATTTAGTAAATTATTTATGTAAGGAAATGAAATATCGATCTGTGTAACTACATATTATTTGCTTTCTTTAAGTACGCAATGCGCATCTCTAAAACACATGGCGCGCGCAGATGATTTTTGGTACACGCGCACATGTGATGTTTTGTGCTCAATTTAGTAATTAACAAGTTAATTTGCTATTACTTGTGTTAATTTATGTTTGTGAATTCTATATTATCAGCCAAAACATAAGAAATGCCCGACATGAAGTACATATTGGTGACTGGAGGCGTGATAAGTGGCGTAGGGAAAGGTGTCATCGCAAGTTCCTTTGGCACGATTTTGAAAAGCTGTGGTATTGATGTGACTTCTATAAAAATCGACCCTTACATCAATATAGACGCTGGAACGTTTTCTCCTTACGAACATGGTAAGTTTATTTATCATTTCTTTCAATATCATTGCTTTTTTTTGTGTGTTTATTTTGCGTAGGAATTGGCGCTTCGATGTGGTCTATTTTTACGTTCTAGGTGAAGTTTATGTTCTGGATGACGGCGGGGAGGTCGACCTTGATCTTGGCAACTATGAGCGTTTCCTGGACATCACGCTGCACCGCGACAATAATATCACGACAGGCAAGATTTATCAACAGGTTATAGAGCGGGAGAGGAAAGGCGATTATCTCGGCAAGACTGTGCAGGGTGAGTGGTTTGAGCGCTAGCATCTCCTATTTTCTAACATAGTTTTTTTGCCAGCTACAATTAGCTAGTTTCTCAAACCGTGATGATATTATTGTTTTTTTTTATTAGGATGGATTAGGATGCTTGCAAGTTAGTAGCTTATGATACTTATACGATAAAGAGTTATAATAAACCAGGAGTATGTAGTAATTCTACCATTACATGTAACGTTATCACTAGTTTTATGGTTTTGTCTTTGGATTTCAAAAATTTTGATTTTAGAAACTTATAAATCTCACCTTTAGTTATTAGTGAGGCTCGTAAGGAATTATCCTCTTTACACACATAATACTTGGAATTCATTACCAGTAATTAATATTTAAAGTCCACCACTAATTAGAACTTTTTTCAATTAAATTTCATACAAGAAAAAATAACACCAGTGTGATTGCTCCTGGGTATTAGGGTTAATATAAATCACATTGTATTTGCATTCACATCTACGTTTAGACTTAGAGTTCAGAGAATTATTATTTACATTCCCAAATTTTCTCATGTTTTGGGTGAACAGTTACGACTATTTATAGATAAGTGCATTAAAAATAATTAGAATGTTTATGTTCCAAGTGATGATTATGTATAATTTTCTTTTATCTTATTTTTAACTTGGGTGCAGTAGGATCTCAGTTCCTATTTATAAAAGCATTGTTTGAAATCTCCCATTTTGAAGTACTAATTTATTACATTGACAACATCAAACTAAAATAAAACTTTCAATGTGCTGTTGTTTTTATCATATAAATTCCTTAGCCATTTGTGAAAGGTGTTTCTGCTAAACAAAATCACAAACATATGTAACTTAGAAATTACAGTCTAATATAAAATATTATACAATAATAAGTTCATGCATCCACAACAATGCTGAGATTCAGGTTTTATATAGTTTGTGCCTGACTCTGAATGTTTTGGTCTTGAAATGAATTCCTTTTTTTTTCACATCTTAACCACATGTACAAAGAAACCAACATTTCCGGCCATCATCCAAGTGAGCTGAGTCAACCATGACTGTGGGACCTGTTAAAGGCCACAAATATTCGTTTGTTTTGAAAAAATGTATATTTGCAAAAATGCAGTCATTTCCAATGTTTAACAATTTCGTTAAGAAGACTATTTTTTATTTTATTTGAATCATTGATCTCTGAATTAATAAGCAACTGTTCTCCCAATGACTATCATCTTATTATAATTTCACTAGAAGACTGCACAAATTTTGTTGTTTGTATGAGTGAACAATTATTAATTTATTAACAATTACTACTCAATTTCTTTTTTCATTTGTGAATATATTTATTGGCTGTATTAAAAAAGCTGATAATGTGATAGATAGGGTATTATTGTTATTATTTTATGTTGTCTCTAAGTTTATCTACCATTATATAAAACAATATTCAGATTTAAAATTCCATTTTTACATTCATACAACTCACCCTAAAAAATTTGGTATGTTTTCCTAGGTTATTCTTACGTCCACTAACTAATACGCGGCTATGTGACAAGCGGTCAAATATCCATTTTAAATAGCATAAGATAGAGCTCAAAATTCTCTGTTTAAAAACAGTTAACATTAGTCAATGTGTGTGACGTATCGGACCTTACCCTAATGATGCATAATATCATTAAACCATTTCAATATTCTATAACTGGGCTATAATTTTTTTCGACTTCTCAAAAAAATAATTTGTTACATAGACGCATTTTAGTCAGCGGATGGCAGTATTAAATTGCCTGTAATTTCACCAGCATCCCTTCAAAACTCGAACGCAGTAACACTCACATTACTGCTTGGCGGCAGAAATAGGTAAGGTGGCAGTACTTTTTGGACGAATAAAAGGAGCTTTACTGCTACAAAGATTGCCACACATGGGATATGACTCTACTTAAAAAAAACTGAAATCGCCAATATTTGTTTTTCAAGCTAACGTTTCGGGTGTGTAAACGGTTACACTTCTAATGATCACATTGACATTGGCGTCTCAATGATAAAACAAATTACACAATTTTAAATCCAAACAGTTATAACTTTTTTATGAAAAAAATCGATTTCAAAAGTTTGTAGAATCTTCTGTCTATTTGCCAAGTTTTATTGAAGTTGGTTAACGGAAAAACCGGATTCATCGCCTAATTTGCCACCCTTAGAGGTGAGATATTTTCTTCAAATTTTAACGGGACCACTACTGAGGTACAATTTTTCCAACAAAAAAAAAATCATCGAAATAGGTTCACTAATGTAATCGCGTAACATACACACGATAAAAAATGGAATGATCTTCCTCTTGAGGTATTTCCTTTGCGCTTTGATATGGGGTTCTTCAAAAAGCGTGTTTACAGGGTTCTCAAAAACTGATGTTGCAAATGGCCATGGGAGAAAATAACCACCTCCCATCGAGTGGCTCGTCTGCACGTTTGCCTCCTTCTTTATATAAAAAAAACAGCCGAATTGAGAACATACTAATTTTTGAAAATCGGTTAAAAATAGTTTCATTGTCCAATTTTTTATTAACCAACTTAAAAAACGAGGTTCTCAATACGAAAAAAACACAGAGTTTGAAAACAGAGTTTTCTGTATGTACGTTACGCGATAACTCTGACATTTGCAAACCTATCTATATATTGTACTGATTCTTTTTTTTTTATTGGAAAGAGGGTACCTCAGTATTGATCCCATTTTAATTTGAAGAAAATATTCCACCTCTAAGGGTGGCAAACTAGGCGATGAATCCGGTTTCGAGCACTTTGCGTTAACCGATTGCAATAAAACTTGGCAAATAGATGTAATTCCACATACATTTCAGGTCGATTTTTTTAGTACTCTGTAGTGAGATTATTATTATAGTGTGTTAATTAACTTATTAGTATGAGTTTTCAAAATGTTTCCCTTTAAATGACTCATGAATGTGTTTTTGCGTTAATTTTGGTAAATCAAAAAATTAATTAAATGAAAAAATATGCTATGGTTAGTAGCAGAGTACTCTTTCTGTATACATATAAACGCTTTTAAACTTCTTTATATATACTAACATTGCAAAAGAAGATAAATGCGATAAAATTTAATAGATACATATTTTCACACCTGTTATAACGACGATTATAACAACCTTGATGGCCCAATGGTTTGCACTGTGAGAGCTGGATGAGGGTATCCCGGTTTTTGATTCCCTATAGAACCAATTTAAGAAATAAACTTTTAAAAATTTTTTTGATCTGGTTGTTGTGGATAGTCCGCTGGAGTGAACTCCACTCCATTGTTCTGGTACACAGAAAATTCCCTAGTGTGTGACCAGGAAACTTTTCAAAAATTTATTTATCATTTAAAAGGTTCAACACAACAATGTTTCTAATCGCATTTTAAACCTCTGAGGTTAGTAGTAATGCGAACTGTATCCACACAATACTATCTTTCATTGACAAAAAAGTTTATACAGAAATTGGATAAATACATTTATAAACAATCAAATTTATCGCAATTGATTAAGCTGTTTACGAAGTAATTTAACTATTGAGGCTGTCTGGCTTATTACATTATTACCTATGGTTGAGTTCTTAGGTTTTCGCGATTGTTACACATTGGAAATGAGACTACTTTTCCGGATTTTTAATTCGCGGAGGTATATTTGTTTTTTCAAACAAACGTTACAAGCGTGACCATGGGACCTGTAAATGACCCTAAACGTTGGTTTGTTTGAAAAAACAAATACACGCGATTTAAATCCGGAAAATTCATTTCCTATTACCTATTGTGTCAACATTTTGATCTGGTTCCATAGACCGTTATCACGAACTAAGTCGGAACTGATTTTTATCGCGCTTATTCCCGTTTCCAATATTATTTTTAATCTAAATAATAAATCGATACCTCACACGTAAGTTGTTGTAAGTTAAAATACCATTTTTTGCTTTTTAACTTAAATATATCTTTTTTATGCATATTAGAAGGAAAACATGCATGTTGAATAGGTGACAGATTACAATAGTAATAACGCAATCAGGTTAATCCAGTACCCCTAACAACTTGAGGTGGCTGGATTTTTGTGACGTGTCGTTTCCAGCGCCAATGCAGAAAGCGGTGTTGTTCGTCACGACACGTATTGTTCGCCGGCTCTTGAACCTGAGTTTCTGATCCCGAACGGCTGTGTAAAATTGCCGGCGAATACCTTATAAAAAAAGTTTTAATTTTTAAACCATGGAAGAAGAGGAGTCTATAGATGCCTATATATTTGTTCCCTTTTTGATGATCGACACGTGTGTCAAACAAAAGTTAATTTATAAGTAACTGATTGTTCGCCATCGTATTTTATTGTTGATTACCAAAAATCGAGTATATTTGTAAGAAACAGACGATCGATATCGTATTTTTTGTAGATCGGCACTGTCAGTCGTTGACAACATAGAAGTGTTTGCAAACGAATAATAAAGGTTGGTTGTAAATTAGGAAAATAAAGTCTTTTGACGTCACTAGTTGTGATACATAGTAATCATAATGTCTAGCCGAGAACTATGTTGTGGATATTGCAAAGATTCACACGAAGCGTAACGCTTCCACATTTATATGGCGAACGGCTATTGAGTGGAATTCCCTGCCTGCAGACTTGTTCCCTGAACGTTATATAACTTGGGTTTTTTCAAGGCGAGAGTGAATAAGCATTTTAGGTGTGCATGCTCCATCGTCGACCTCATCGTCACTTTCCATCAGATGAGATGGAGGTCAAATGCACACTTATAAAATATATAAAAAAAGAGAACATGTGCATATAAAGAATATTGAATCGTTTTTCACAACTGGTTGTGAACTATAGTGGCAATGGCCTCCAGAGAGAAAAAACTAGCAATTCTGTAGGCACCTTAAAGTAGATAGATAGAAAAAACTTTATTTATTTCCATAATTATTTATTTACTAAGATCAACTAAAACTAACACTATTATTAACAAGTTTTAATAACTAAAATAACATACAGTTTTACATAAAACTAATTAAACTAAATACCTAGTTTTGGAAGTCAAGGCAATGAAAAGGCCCTGGCTCAGCAAATATTTGAGGTTGCCCATGGCCATGGTATTCTTTTTTTTTTTCAGCGGCTCTGAGTGGCACTGCAACTCAGAACTTTATATCGCTAAGATCTGAGGGGCACTGCCACTGCACCCGTCACCCCGAGACATAAGTTGACAAGTCCCATGTGCCTGTAATTTCACCAGCACCCTTACCCTTCAAAACCGGAACATAGTAATGCTGACATTACTGCTTGGTGGCAGAAATAGGTAAGGTGGTAGTACTTCCCTGGATGAACTCTTTCACAAGGAACTCTACTGCTACTAAATTCTGCCAGGACCCTCTTAAGAGAGACGCCACTCATCCCCTCAGACAATTTCAGACAGTCAAATAGATGACCAAAATAATAATAATCTTTTATTACCAATCACAATGTCATTGATAAATGGCTATAGCCAAAATCGCAGAAGTGAGACGTGTACTGGGTTGACAATGACCATGATGAATGATGATAATTAATTAATTAAAAATTAAACCATACTAAGTGGGTCATTTCTTCATTACATAGTTTCACTTACTAGATCTCTTTAGTCATTCATTACTTTTGTATTGTTATTCTAGTTCAAGTCACAATCTAGAGTTCATTAAACATTATATTGTTTATATTGAGGGCCAGTGGTATGCAAAACTATTTTCTATTAGGCATTTCTAATGTAAACATCCCTTTGTTCTGCTAAGCCTTTGTTGTAGAGAAATTATTATTACATTATTGTGAATAAGCCTTTTGTACTGTAAAACATATTAATTTGGCCTTACAAATTTAATTATTCTTATTGCCTACTATTATAATATACTATACATATGTATAGTTTATGGTTACTGTTTTAAATTATTAACTTTTGTTAACTGTGTTTGATACTAGTTACATATAATTTAAACCACTGCTCCAAGTTTCATTAATATCAATGTACAATAATAGTATCATTTACACAGCAATTGGTCATTTTGAAGACAGATGCATTGTAAGGCCGACAAGACCAATATTTAAAAACTTTTTAATATTGATATAGGTATTGTACATCGAGTATATAACCAGAAATAGAGACGAAATAAGGGCCATCCATCCCTGGCAACTCATCAGGCAAATGGGCCTTATACAACTTTATGCACTGAAATTACAAATTAGAAAGCTGAAAGAGTACAGCGCCAACAACTGACCTGTGTTCACGTCTCCGTATATTCCAACAATATTCTGAATTTATTGTAATAAAGATAATATCTCTAACTATGGGCGGCTGTTCCATTCGGTGATGTGGGAAAAATAGCAAACCATCTAATTACAAAACAAACGGAATCACATTTCATCGGTACTTAAATATTAAATCATTATGTAATTTTTCAACTTTCATCCATTATTGCAAATCTCAAGTTAAACTGGTCGATTTGAAGTGAAATAATTGACGACACCCGTCAATTGTTTCGAATTCGGGCTGGCCAATCGAAGCGCAGTTGTCACCGTAATGATTTGGCAGAATAGCTTTCAAACAAATTAAAGGACGTTTCGTCTCTATTTCTGGTTATATACTCGAAGGTATTGTATTATATTAATATTAAATGAATTTTATTCTATTTTCTTTGCTGCAGTGATTCCACATATAACCGACGCAATTCAAGAATGGGTAGAAAGAGTAGCACAAATCCCGGTGACTCCAGAGAAAACACCACCTAAAGTATGCATAGTAGAACTTGGTGGGACGATTGGAGATATCGAAAGCATGTCGTTTGTTGAGGCGTTTCGACAATTTCAATTCCGAGTGAAGAGAGAGAACTTTTGTGTTGCTCATGTATCACTGGTACCGATGGTGAGTGATACATTTACTTCTACCATTATTAACCGACATCAAAAAAAGGAGGAGGCTCTTAATTCAACTGTATTTTCCTTTTTTTTTGTATGTATGTTACGAGATTATTCCGGCTTTTATGAACCGATTTTATAGTTTTTTTTTGTTCGAAAGAGAGTACCCCAGTATTGGTCCCATATAAATTTGAAGAAAATATTCCGCCTCTAAGGGTGGCAAACTAGGGGATGAAATCGGTTTCGCGCACTTTCCGGTAACCGATTTCAATAAAACTTGGCAAATACAATAGCAATTCCACGAACTTATGACGTCGGTTTTTCTTTTATAAAAGAGTTCTTTATTTATTCAATTTGTTGATGACCACGGTGGCCTAGCTGTTAACACTGTCAGAGCTAGATGAGGAGAACCCGGGTTCAGGAATCGAACCCGGGTTCTCCTCATAGTAGGACCTGGGAGACGAACTTTTTAAAATTGGTCCTTGTCTAGATATACTGAGTTGACACCGTTGCTCTTGTACTCATAGACAGGGATTTTCCTAGTTAAAGACCAGATAACTGATGTGATAGTTTGGTACTATTAATGTTATTAGAAGAATGCAAGGATGTTCCGGATTCGATTCCAAGTCGAATTTATTAAGATAGTTAAGATTTAATGTTTTCAGCTTGGGTATTCTGTGTAATATCCCCAGAATTGCAATTCTGATTATTATTAAAATTTCAAAAGTACCATAATGTCATAATTGTCATAGAAGATACCTGATTAACGGCTGTGGCTATTACGGTACTTATTCAAGTCAGAATTTTAGTAGGCCAGATGCGAGTCGTCGTCGGTGACCTGCTTTTTCTGCTTGGTTTTTTTTACTAACTTAACAAACAAGGCCGGTGGTTTGTAGGTCTTCTTTATCGAGTGCTCGAAACTTGAAGAATTTTTTGCAAGACCAGCTCAGTAGACTATGTTCCAATGACCTTCGTAGAGAAAATCTACGCTTTCACTGTTCCAACATTATGTCGAAACATACATCCTTGCCTCTTATTTCTGTTTGTAATTTACACACCGAAACTAGTTTTCGATTCTAAATAAGATATTATTAAATTAAATATTAGTTTTGTTTTCGGGAATGCAGCATGTTTGGAGCATGAATGTATGTATAAAATATAAACAAATACACAAATGCATTGACAGGGTTAATTTTAAAATACCTTACAACTTCGCTGGACAATATTACCAACATCATAAATGATAACTTTTGTTAAAACATAATAAATTTAAAAAATACACTTTTATGTTTTTGTCGTACTATCTGACACTGTTCAAGGTGTGTTTTTAAGGTCTATCTGGTAGAATAAGTTCAAACGTGCAAGCGTCCTCCTCCGCGACGACTTCCACCCCCGTCTTGCACAGAGTTATTACCGTTTAGAGTGATCTATTTAAATCTATTTATTTTTGTATGAATGTAAAATCTGATGAATTATTTAAAGTCATGAAGCAAAAGTTGTTTATGATGTTAGTAATACAGACCTGGGAGGTTGTTAGTATTTTAAAAATAATCCTGTATAAACCTTTGAAAATGTCAAACATTTCATGTTTTTAATGTATATTATTATTGTGCCGTGCTTTACACCCCTTACTCTATATAGCACTAAAGTATATAACCACGACAACACGTAAACCCCCGATACAAAACAGTGTACTCCAAAAGTCACCATTTGTATTCTAACAACTCGTCGATATCAATTTATACTCTGTCCAACCATTTATTTAACTTTTGACAGCTCGAATTCTAATCCATTAGTGATGTCCTAATGCGTTTCCGACTCGATTTTTTATAACAATCGACTTTATTCATGAAGATGTTTTAATCGTGAATGTGAGCGGGTGCCAAAAATAATATATCGTCTGATTGGCATGACGATAATGGTGATGTTGCGTTTGACAATTTGTGTGCTCAAGAATTAATAATTAATGTTATTAAGAATTCAAGTGATGATTCCCGTTCATACGGAGAAGAATCCGACGATTCATTATAGTAAAAAAATAAAGGAAAGGAGCTGCCTTATTTATGGAATAAACGTGCCTACCTAAACCAAAAATGTCCATCACAAATGGCGGATTTAGTGTTGACCACAATCATAGATAAGTCAATATCTTTATCGTTGAAACTGTTGTTACTGTGTTTTATGTTTGCAAATTTGTGTAGTTTACTGTAATCAAAGTAATGTAATGTAAAGCCATTTTAATCAAAATTATATATAAAGTTATTTACCAATAAATGTAACGATGGAATTGCATTATCATGTAATCTAGTTACATTCAAAGTTCTGTTTAAATTTGAATGGAGCGAACAAACGACGATGGTATTTGATCCAATGTTTATGTTCGGCAGTCCTGTAATTTCCAACCATTCTTTCTTTCTTTTTTTATTTGTAGGTAAACTTAAAAAATAATAATAATGAAATAATAAAATCCTCGTAGTGAATTGTTTCAATAACAGAATATCGATAATATATCTGTTTACAAGAACAACACTATCTCAAAATAATCGTTATCAACAATCATCAAAATATACTAACAAACAGGCAATCTAAAGTAAACAAAGCAAAATTCGGTAAGTTTTATGAATAAACTACTTAAATAAGTCTAATTACATGAGATATTTCGGCTGTTGTATGATTTATAGGCAGAAAAGTAATATATGTTGATGTAATGTAACATTTGGTTGATTTCCGCTTTTTCTAATGCCGGACACCTTAAAGCTGCAGCAACGCATTTTTATCAATACTTAATTGTTCTCACTGTCAATATTTTAGTCCATTTTATTACAATTCATGCGAATAATTCACTAAAACATTTGGCCAAACATTGGTTTTGACATTTGATGTATTTCCCCTTGACAACCGGATAAGGATGTCAAAGGATACTCCAAAAATGATAAAATGAAGACAGTTGGCATTTAAGATGACGTTTCGTATTTTCGATTCCCGTGTTTGACATAAATCAATGTAGTGCTATCTCTTTTGGCTTACGACGGCACGCAGTAGTTAAACAAAGACAATAAAATGTTTATGTTTTCAACGTCTAAATGCATCTTAAACATATAACGTCTTATTTATATATGTTAATATAACATGTCCTTTGGTTTTCATAGTCTAAGCCAGGAAGTAACTTCGGAGGCAAGCATATGTCAAAAATTAAATTAATGGCTGGACGGACGGAGTATAATAAGCCCTGTGTAGTTTTACCGTAAGTTTTTGAGGAGTTGAGTAGTCTGCACTCTGTCCTAGTTTCAGCATCAAATCAAGGTTACCATATTATCGTAACGTCATCGGATTTACATAATATGAAAAATTTCAAGTCGTTTGGACAAATCGATACCTCCGATGAACACTACGCCAACTTAATTTTTTGGTCTTTTCTGTTTTCACTGTAAACAGCAATACTGTAAACATTTTATTTACTACTATTAGGCTCCCCGAAGTTTGTCAAAAAAAAACAAATTCGGAAAAAAAACGAATTTTGTAAAAACAAAATAAAAACAGAGATGTCAAAAATATTAAGTTGGCGTAGTGTTCATTCGAGGTATCGAAATGGAAGTTAAATTTAATTAATTATATTTATTTTATGACTAATATCCCTACGTTAACTCGGAAAAGAACTGATGATCTGTAAGCAGATGATCAGATGATGATCAAACATTGCTAAGAACCATCCCGATTTAAATAGAATAAAAAACGCTTTGAGATTGTCTGTCCGTTTGGGAACTACGATGCCATAGACGGACGTACAATACTCACAAAAACAGAAATACACAGACAAGTGCTTCAAACTTACTCCCCTCTTTTTGCGTCCGGAGTTAAAAATAGAAGTGGCTGCCTTGACTTTTGGTGACAGGAGTTACGAAAAAGATAACTAAATACATTGACTTACAAATAAATGGACGACCGGTCTAATACAAAAACCACGAAAAAAATGTCCCAAGTCAACCTATTTAAACGTAGTGACATGTAAAGGAATATGAAAAGGCTAAAACGTTAGATTTAAATTGTAATGTCATCGCAGTACTGTCTAATTTTGCTTGCTTCGCTGTCAGTCGAACAAACGAAGACTAAAGCGTGAATGACGCTCTGTATACGATTTTAACGCCCTATAAGTTCGGACACTTTTTAACGCGGACCCGACGTCCATATAATTGTAAGTCAATGACTAAATATTATAAATTTATAACACACGATATATTACAATCTGATAATGAGACAAGAAATAAGTATGTACAAATACACATCAAAAGTGTCTTAGGGATCAAGTACTTTTGTACCAATTACTGACAACCGGGTTTTAAAATGTTTTTTTAACACTTGGTTTTTTTTTTGAGTTGGAAAATTAAATTGACCAAAAAAAACCATTGACCTTAAAAAATACATTAAAGAACCTGATGTTCAGTAATTAGCAAAAACGTGCTTGATCCCTTTTGATGTGTGCATATTACTTTCCTATAATTTGGTTTTTAAGTCTTTAAAAAAAGAGTGCTTAAATGTTTTTACTATTATTTTTATCTTATGTCGATAGAAATCTGTTCTAGCCAAAATCAACGGGAGAGGCAAAGACAAAGCCGACACAATCATCGGTGCGCGAACTGCGAGGCTTGGGGCTGTCTCCCGATTTAATATTGTGTCGGTCAGAGAAGCCTATTGATCACACAGTGAAGGAAAAAATTTCAAATTTCTGTCACGTAGGACCCGAGCAGGTGAGTTATCTATCAAAATATTATAATATTTTAAACTAAAATACGTTGCCATTACTAACAACGGACTGTAGTAGGCGTTAGATAAAAAGATTCCCGGTAGGACCAATGTATTTGGAAACGGACTTTTCTAATTTAGTTCTGGTCTGGTGGTTGTATTTGTGTTTTTTACTTTTATGCAGAAATAGGGTGGGAAAATTTAACTGCAATAAGTTTCAACACTTACGCTCCTATTTTGCACAATTAAGGCTGCGTTCACATGGCATTGTACTGCATGTAGATTATTAACCGAAATCTTACTATATTCAGGATTCATACTATAATCACGCTGAGTACACGTCAATGATGGATCGACGCTTTGTTGCACTTTTATACCGGTATAGTAGAAAGCCAACGGTTTCGCCGTCGATGTAACAGGAATTGGTTTCATCCTACAAAACACGAAGCAGTGCGTACAACAACATACGTACGAAAAATGGCACGAAAACCTAAGAAATTATGACAGAAACTTACTTTATTTATTTACAATTGTTAAAACGTTTGGGGAATTCAAGTTTACTATAAATAAAGACGGTTCGGTTCGGCTGCTATTCAATAAAGAAAGTATGACATCGCACCATGTGAAGGAGATGGTGTAATACAATGCGCTACTGTAATCCGAATACCAAAGTTTATTCAGTTTGCTTGACAAGTCCCGTGTACATTCGATAAACGTATTTAACGGTGTGCGTTTTTTTGCAGTACAAACGACGTGTGAAAGGTTCTATCATATAATGTATGCACAACTGTTTATTCGGTAAGCCATGTGAACGATGCCTTAATCTTCACCGAGTTCGCGGTGTAGGAAATTAATTTACTTCAATTTTTATTATCATCTGAAGTGATCAAGCCTTGCACTTTTTTTATTGATTCGGACTGAATAAAGATCTAAATCATCAGTTTAAAGCTGTAATAGGTTTATTATACGCGAAAATTTTGACAACTCACATCATTCTATATCTAGGAGTAACATACCATCACGTCCGTCTCCCATTGGGGCAGGCAGTGGCTCTTCCTGCTCATCATTATTGTGTACAACAACAATTGAAGAGACTCGGGAAAGAATTATCAAAGTCGTCTAAAACGTATTTTGAATTAATACCGTCATCTAGTTTGTTAACGCTGAACGTATTTAGCCTAAATCAGAAAAAGTTCAGTGAAGTTTAATGCCCTAAAAAATTAGCTTTTACTGCTAGGTATAAAAAAAATGCTTGGATCTAATTGGTAAGAAAAGGAAATAGGATGATTGTAATTTTTATTTTTGTTAAAATGGATTACATAACGTTATACATATTCAGGTAGCAATTCTGCTGTTAAAAAATAATGACATAAACCAAAATTGTAAATTTATATATTTATTTTTTGCATAGCTATCTTGAGAATGAGCTAAATTCTAAACTAATCACGTGACAACATTGAGTATACAATTCGTCAGCTTTTCGCGCCAGATAGACCTTAGATTTTTTAACTATCCTCCAGATGAATTAGGTGATTTTAAGATATGCTGCTACTCTACAAAGCATCAATTTGTGCATGTCTTTTTCACAAATAAAACTTTTCCAAATTGTAAATAAGAAAAAAGTCCTATAATTCTCCTTGAGTGACTTTGATCATTCTTTCAGTACCGTTCAAATGTTAACTTGTAGCCGACTATAATTAATAGTGTACGATCTGTAAAATTAAACCGTTCTCTGTTATAGGTAATGTGTGTGCACGACCTTGGCTCGGTGTACCACGTACCTTTGTTAATGGAATCGCAAGGCATCGTGCAGTACTTGAACGAGCGGTTACAGCTCAATGTGAGCATGCCAAGGCCTGGACGGTAAGTCACAGTATACAGTAATCATATCCAACGAGGTAGCCCAGTGGGAGAACATTTGCCCAATAGGCCACATCTGTATTTTACTTCCGTGACTATATAAATTAGTGCTCGTTATACATAAATAGTTTCGCGTAATTATGATCTTTGTGCCAAAAATAAAGTTATTTCGTTACTAAGTTTATTTAATCAATGTTGCTGTTAAAACAATAATGTATTATAATTTTTAAATGGGAAAGGTGGTACTCTTCTGGCATAGGCCGGGGTCAGGGACTCGGGTTCAAAAACTAGCATTGTGCTGGAAGTGACCCGCCACGAAAAAACAATATTTGTCTTTTATCGCACAATAGAGGCGACAATCTAAAATAATTACCCAAATAATAACAGAATTTATTTATTTTCTCTCTCAAAAAAGCCTACTGTCAGATTTTTTTTAAACATAAACTTTGTGAGCTTTGCTCTTTGGCTTTTACATGCTTTCCTCTCTGAAGTATTATTAAATTAGCGTCGATTCGGCCAGACACCAACTAGACTTTAAGTTCAGAGCATCTATCTCTTTCGTTAAAAATAAAAAAAGTACAGGAAATTCATTTAATTCTAGAGTTGTAAAATTAGTCGACGTTTGTATACTCTTTAAACTTTGACGGTATGCATTTTATATCGCTACTAAATTATACAAGATACTTTGCAACATTTTCTTGTTTAGAGATTAAATAGTAATAATAGATAAACAGCCAGATGCCCATAAATTGATTGCATTTGCGTTTCCCTGAATCGATACTACTGCCAACCTTAAAAAAACAAAACACACTAACGAATTTTTAATTTATTTCTTATCAAAGCGTGCTAAGTAGTTGACGTAAATATAGAAGCATTAACCTCTGTCATAGTTTTACATAATTATATCGACAAAGAACGGTAAAGGAAAAGGCGAAACCTACATACCGGCCCCCTTTTCATTTTTAACATTAAAAATCTACAGCGCCATCTGGATATAAGACGAAATTTGATCTTTTTCAAAGTTACGATCTGTAGTATGAGGGTTAACAGTCCTCTGTGAGTGAGTGAGTTCAACTTTTGTTCAAAGTGTTATATGTCTAATTACAGGTTCATGCAAAAATGGCGCAACCTAGCGAAGCGTGTAGACAATTTGCGTAAAGAAGTGAACATAGCACTAGTGGGAAAGTACACCAAACTAGAAGACAGTTACGCGAGCGTCACGAAAGCCTTGCAGCATGCCAGCATCGCCGCCGGAAGCAAATTGAACCTGACGTACATTGAAGCGGAAAACTTAGAGAAACAAACCAAAATCAACAACCCTGTTAGTTATCACAGAGCGTGGCAGGATCTTTGTAAGAGCAAGTAAGTGTAAAAAGAGATGGATTGTCCTCACTTATTAGATTTATTAGTTATTATTAGATACGCTCTAGTCCAAAAGTTGCCCAGAATAGTTTCTTCTAATATACATACATAATTAGTCATTTTTAAGTGATTACTTTTGTTAAGACTAGTTAAATAGTCTTTATTAAAGTATGAAATTGTTAATTAAGTGTGTATAGTTAAGTGTGTGTGTGTGTGTGTGTATGTATGTGTGTGTGTGTGTGTGTGTGTGTGTGTGTGTGCGCGCGCGCGTGTGCTTGCGTGTGTGTGTGTGTGTACATATACATACATATATACACGCACGCAAGCACGCGCGCGCGCAAACACACACACATTCATTATTTGCAATCAGTCGCCAGACTATAATTAAATTGTTTGAGTGTATTTTGGCGTTTGAGAGCGAGGAAGCCACTGCTTCAGCCTCTCCTAGTCATCGAACACGTGCTGTCGTTTCAGTGTCTTAATGTTGCCACCATCAACCAGTGCTTTAGCGAGAGGATTCGTATTTCGTTATAGTCCTATTTTATACGATGAGTATTGAGTCGTTCCCTGTGTTTACGTCTATATACGTTTATCACTTCTACAATCGTTGGAATATCTAGGTACTCGTGGATTTCAGTATTCTTGGTGTACCATGTGGCACCACTAATAGTTCGAAGGATGTTGTTTTGGACTCTTTGAAGGCATTGGATGTTTGATTTGGAGGCAGTGGCGCATAACTGAATGCCATAGAGCCATATCGGCTTCAATATGGCACAGTACACCATGAGCTTGGTACTAAGAGTTAAGTATATATAAAATTAATAATTAGGTTGCAATACCCTAACACGGTCCATGTTTATATGAGATATCATTCTCTGTACTCATGATGCAATAAATAAATAAAGCGTTTCGCCATACCATATTCTAAAACTGACCTTGGTCCTGTCGCTTTTTGCCAAGGCTTTTTTCCAAATCGCATGATTTAGACATTGAATTTGAACCGTTACAAAATTGATTTAGCTGATATGTTCTAAAATAAACCCCACTATTCTCAATTTTTGCAACAATTGTAAGCAATTTCAAAGAATTTGATTTATCTTTTGGTTTGCCCCACGGACATATATCTAGATAGACGCCGCAAGTACAGCAATTTGTATGAAAACCAAGCGTGCCACTTTTTTGTAGCCACTATGACGTCACAAGAGCTATTCAGTGATGGAAACCTCCTTCCTCTCGCTGTAAATCGATTGATTAAACGGAATACGCGTAATTCTAAATATAATAATTTTTGTTCAAGTATTTGTTGATTACAAGTAGTCGTAATAATAAAATAGTAGAAAAAAATCTAGAATAAGATAGTTAAGTCCTTTATTTTACTGTTTTTAAGAAATGTGGATTACTTAAAAAAATTAAGGTTTTAATTTTTAATTGACTTCAAATATTAAATTATTGAGCTTCCAATAAAATGAGCTTATTATATTGTGGGATAAACTAGACCACCTTCGTCCTTGAAAGCAACGAACTCATACGTATGACCAACTCCAGGTTTTTGTAAATTACAATCAAAATATTTTTTTGTATTACTCGTATTACATATCCGGCGACGTATGTAATTATTTGTTCACTAATTCGCACATTCAAGGCAACGTGCTGCAAAAATTATCGAAATTACAGATACTACTGATAATAGATACCACAAAACTGAAAAAAAAACGAAACATTACTAAACGTTATAACAAAAGAGTTATAGAATATTTTTATAATACTGCTAAGGTCATAATCATTTTCGTCCTTTTGTTTTCAAAATCGATCAGAATCGAGAACAGTGTTGCCTAACTTATACATCACTAAATGTTAAATTTAGCCAAAGAAACACAAGCGGCCGTACCACGAAACTGAATGCATTATACAAAAGTGCGTATTAACAAAGGATCACAAATATATCGCACCAAGTAAAAGCCGCAATATATTATAAAACATGAGGCATACACTCGGTTGCATATTTGTTTTCTCGAAATTCATACAAAACCAAAATAATTATTTTTAAAATAAATTATGCATCTTCTGATTACAAAATCACTTGCCCATGGAAGGAAACGTCCCTGTTTATCCGTTTACAAACAGTTGTGGTGCTTTTGCAGTTTATAATGGCACAATTATGCATTTTTCGCGTTTTTGATTGGTGTTTGTCTACGATAACGGTCGAGCGCGTTCTGAAGTGTAGCAGCGGCAAATAAGTGAATTTCACTTACTTTGGGCACGCGAAGTACACTTGCGGCGTCTATCTAGATATATGTCTGTGGTTTGCCCTTTGTTTCATTATAATATTTAAATATATTGTTGCCATTACATTTTGTGGTGTGTTTAAGCACTTATAAGCTTAAATGGTTAACTACTTAAAATGTAGAGTTATCTATATGGAAGTTTTAAATAAATAAAAAGAGGGATTAAGGGTCGTATTCCAGAACTCTACTCAATGCTCAAGTCAGGATTTGAGCAGACTTGAGTATGATTTCAAGCACTGGAAATACGACTCTAATGGCAAGGACTTGAGTATGATTTTCAGTGCTCACGGCAATACTCAACTCCTTACTTGAGTATTGAGTAGAGTTCTGGAATACGAGCCTAAGTTTATTGTGTGTCCTGATATCTTTCACCACCATGACATTCAATTTTTTTTTTGTGAAATGACTCCACTCGTTTGCTATAATTATGAATACAAAGATCGATTATTAACACTTACAAAAAATGCCTTTGATCCGAAGTCTGAAGATCTGTGAGAAATTTATTTCTTCGATAGAAATTTTTCACAGATGGCGCTACCGCAAAAAACTCGTTAAAAACCTAAACAAAGATCTGCAACAAGCACATAGAAAGACTCGTAAGGTTGCTAGAAGACGCTTTCAACTTATTTCTTAGGCTGATGACCGCAGTAGCAGTGCCCTCAGATCTTTGCGATTTAAAGTTTTGAGTAGCACTGCAACTGTTCTGCACAGGCGTGTCGGTTACTAACAGGCGCACGACTTGTTCGTCCCATCACTTAGTATCATAAAAACAATTCATTTCGTGTTTGTATTATTTTTATGACTTTAATGTAATAAAATTAATTATGACTCATGTTCACATGTGGCTTTATTATACCAAATTTTTGTATTCCCAATTGTAGTGGCGTGATCATCCCCGGAGGGTTCGGCTACCGGGGGATGGAGGGCAAGATAGAAGCGTGCCAGTGGTGCCGCGAGACGCAGAAGCCAATGCTCGGCATCTGCTTGGGGCTGCAGGCGGTGGTGGTCGAGTACGCGCGCAACGTACTTGGGCTGAAGGGCGCCAACACCACAGAGGTGGACCCGCACTGCGAGGACCGGCTGGTCATCGACATGCCGGAGCACCACCCCGGCCAGCTGGGCGGCACCATGCGCTTGGGCAAGAGGAAGACTCTCTTGGAACCTAGTATAATAAGTGAGTATTTCTTTTAAAAAGATCAATAATAACCTACATAATAATATCTCAAGTGATATCCGAGCTGGGAATTTAGCTTACAAATATTAAAATATAGAACAGAATAGAGACCATTTATTACATAACGCCACAACACAATAATACAGAGTAAGAAATTTAAAAAAAAGATAAAGCTAAATTAAAGCAAAAATAAAATAGAATAAGAAAAAAAATAAATTAAAAATAAAATCTTAGTAAAAGGTAATGTAAGGTAATGGAATGACCATAAAGATAGTCAACACTATTGTGCGGCTATGGCGTATGTAAAAGAATCCACTAGGTTAATGTCACCTGTAGGAAAAGGCTGTGACGCTGATTTTCAGTGGACCCTAATACGTATATTTTTTTGTAATGTAGTGTAATGTTCTCTTATATTTATAGAATACTTAAATAATTCATTTGATACATATATAGTGATAAGTGTGTGCAATGTAGTCTCCATTATTTACTACAAACAAAATAGAACTTATATTTAGTTTAAAAAGATACCGATTGCGAGATTTGTGTCGCGTGGGCGACGCAAGACGAGCGGGCAGATGCGCGGGAGGGGTCCACGGCTTACGAGCCACAAAGTGCGGCAGCTCCGTCTGGCTCCGTTGTAAGCAAACAGGTTTCGTCCTGCAACGTAGGTACTTACCACGCATAATATCTGCTTTTTAACATTTTTTGTGATACAAAGAGTGACATTTTGTGACGCTTGTATCTGGTCCTGTACTCCCGTTCACCGGCCAATATATTGCACTGATAATACAATAGTGTATTAACTCAAAAAGAGGACTTTCTCAGAATCGATGGAAAACTAATTATACACTGCCCGAAAAAAATCATTAAAATTATGTATATGTTATAGTTTATTATAGACACTTAAACAACGTCCTAAATATATTTAAAAATAAAATTGAAAAAATTATTTCATATTTTTTAATAAGGATTATTTTGGCCTGAACTAGCTCACATAAAGTGTATCTCATTTTGAGTTAAGTAGATATCTTTTTATATTAAATTTCACATATTTTGAGTTACAACACTATTGTAATAGCATTGCGATATGTCCAAAGTGATTACTGTCAAGTAAGTAATACTCGACCAAATTAAAAGACGCATGATGCGTATACGTACTACATATAAACCATATAACATCATTGTATAAACCCGTTAAAGGGATTTCAGTAGGTACAATTTTGTGTTGGAAAATAAATGAAAAAAAAAAGAATGAAGTTTCCTATTTCGACGGATGTCGGACGGAGAACGAGAATCGACCCCCAGCATTTGACATCAGTATTGACATCGTTAAATTTAAAAAAAGTTGTAGTTTAAAATTCTGAGTGCAAATAGGATTTGTCAATCGATTTTCTGTTTTCGCCAGCACCAGCGCTAACCCTACTAGGAGTTAAAATAGTCGCAAAAAAACCTGTTCTGACCGTTTTCTGGATTTTTTTTCCATCTTTTGTAACGACTTATCACCTCAATTCCAGCGCAATTATACAAGAAAGATGAAATTGAAGAGCGACACAGACATCGGTACGAGGTGAACCCGGACTACATCGAGCGCCTCGAGGCAGCAGGGCTCCGCTTCGTTGGCAAAGACGAGACCGGAAAACGTATGGAAGTGGCTATAGTGGACAATCACCCTTACTACGTCTCCGTACAGTTCCACCCGGAATACTTGTCACGACCCCTATCACCAAGTCCACCATTCTTAGGGTATGTTATTTTGCAATAATCATTGATATTTATAGATGTACTAGCTGGTGCCCGTGGCTTCGTTTGTGAGTACTTCGAGCCTACTGTATTAACTGCCTCTATGGTCGAACGGTTACCATGCCGGACTGCCACGCACAGGTACCAGGTTCGATTCCCGGGCTGGGAGGAAATATTTGTATGGCCTACATTTATTTCTTTCGTGAGTTTTGCGTTAATTTGTGGTTGTCTATGTGTGTGTCCATGGCACCCGCGACACAGAGTTCCCCGTGCAGGGTTATGTTGAGTGTGTGCGTTATTATTATTATACTAATTTTCATAGTTTTATTGTTCCTTCATACAAATTATCGCCCTCTAATTGATCCCCGTTAAGATTTATTTTTGTGACTCTAGTAGCGTATCTCCTTCTCCCAGGTCCTACCTATCTCTACATCAAAATTAGTTCAGCGGTTTAGACGTGGAAACGTTCGCATTTATAATATTATTTCGGATGAATACACTGTCGGGCTCGGGTTTCTCGTAAGGGGAGCATTTTAAGCTATAATCCTTCAAGCTGCCAAAAAGTGAGTTGGGGACTTCCGGTTTTCAACGGTTCTTTCTTCTTTCGAAGTTTACTACTAAACATTTATAAATAAATGTATGTAAAGATCGAACACAAGAAAAAATCTTTTCTTTTTATCGTATCGGCACTTCTTCTATTTTAGAACTATATTGACTTTGAATAGTATGTCTACCTTGCCTGCGTCATCCGTGGCCGCGTAGAGATCTTCCCTCGTACAGGTATTAAGGTACAAGAGGCACAACAGTAAGTGCTGCATGGACGTTTTGGAGCACCGCAGTCACTTTGGGTTTGACTAGCATACCTGAAACCCCATTTACACTTGTCTCTCCAGCCACCTGACAGCGAAGTCGATTTAAGGACTTCCACACGGGAGGAACGATGAAACCAGATGGTGGGGGTTTTCTGTTTTCACAGTGCACCTAGTGACAGTTGGATGGTCAAATCATTTTTTTAATTTGGAATGTATTTTGCTGCAATTTTTACAAATATTGTTATTATTATAAACTTTATTCTTTTAAAGCTTTTAATTTTGTTATAATTATTGTTACTTTTTCAATTTACATTAGCATTCAATAAACTCTGAACTCACTATGTCACGTCATGCCATTTTTTCAGTGACATCCTATAATTGGCAACACTTATTGCTCATGTAAATTAGTTTTTAAGTTTTACAATGTATGCTGTTGGATGTCCTTTATAAATAAATAAATAAATGTTTCTTACAGATTTTTGTATTAAGTCTTCGTGTCATAACTGGCTTAGTATGGCTGTATATTTGAAAGTTTTTTTTTTGTTACAGTCTTATTTTAGCGTCTCTGGGCAAATTGAAGAGTTACATGTCCAAGGGCTGCAGGCTCAGTCCCAGGAATCAATCCGATGTAAGCTCGGGTAAGTAAACTTCAGTTCACATACTTGAAGGGTAAAGAACAATGGCGAAATTATTGTTAAAATAATTCTTTGGCGTCTTCTCGAACGTCATAACTACAAGTTTTAATAAAATAAATTCATAAATTAATATATTCTTCAAATTATACTAAAGGCTGGTCTAAGTCTGGAAATAAAATTTAAAATTATATAAATTTTAAGTTGATTTAAAATTAAATAAGTAAATTTCAAATGACTAATTGTTATTAGTATGTACAGATGTAGTGAATAATCCTTTCCTATCGGCAAAACTCGGAACAACGATAACACCCGAATGGTGCCGATGTGTCTATGAATTACTGTATTATTAAATTACGTGTAGGTATCAAATAAATCGCATACTTTATTTATCAATGTCAAATGTCAAACTGCCCGTTTGACGTATATTACACTGAGATGTTAAAACCACCACGATTCTATCATATAAAGAATTCCTTAGGTAAACAAAAATATAACTAGTTACCGAGGACGTTTTATTTCAATAAAACGCACTGATAAAAACCAAATTCCGGTTGGGATGATCTAATGATTCTATAAGGATTGGAACCCCAAAAGTCTAACTATAAGTCAAAACTACAGTTGGATTTTGCAGACCTTTTTTATAACAATTATTTTTTTTAATTAATTAAAAATACTATGACATAACAAAAAAGACACCTCAACATAAAACAAAACAAACCAGCAGAGAAATTAATATAAATAAATATGATTTTCTGATTGGATGAACGACTTCGATTATGACAGCGGGATAAGAGGAGGAGGAGCGGGGTGGACAGTGTGATGCGAAACAATACTTCCAACTTCCATATCACAGTCAGATTCAGAACTATTTTCTGGTGTATCATCGTCAGAGTTTTCATGAACGTTGATTACAAAACTAGCCATATAATTTTCCAACTCAGGTTCGTGTTTTCGGTACTCGTTTTCGCATTTGATGGCGTGGTCACATACTTTGGCCCAAACATCGGAACCAATCATATTAACCTTTTCCTGTACCAATTGTTTCACAGTAGTCATATTCATACTGATGTTTCTTTTGGATACGTATCCCTTTATTTGAGACCATATGTTTTCAATCGGATTGAAATCAGGATGATATGGTGGCAATCTTAGTACGCTGTGTCCATATTCGTTCATAAGTTTATCTATAGAGTATTCTACAAAGTCTTGTTTGTACTTGCAAATAATTTCATATATTTCAATTTTTGTTAATGACGGATCAATCGGAACGTTAAGTTTTGATAGCCAATCAATCATGTCTTGCTTACGGGTATTTGAATTAGGAGGTTTTTCTACGTACTTATTATGATATGCAGCATTATCTACTACTAGTACCGAATGTGGAGCTAAGTTTGGAATGAGTTGATTACGAAGCCATTTTTCACAGTTTTCATTGTTCATCGCGTTGTGATAGTCACCTGTTTTATCAGTAGACTGATACATTAACAATGCCATAGGTATAAACCCCTTTCTACTACCAGCGTGCACTATTATAAGACGTTGTCCTTTAGAAATTAACTGTTTCACTCCGTTTTCTGACGAGTCAGCCCAGCTTTTACCTGCCAAATGTGAGGTATGGATGTATGTTTCATCCATATAAACAATCTCTCTCCCTTGCAATCTGTACTTTTTTATCGCGGCTAAAAACTTTACTCTTTTTAAACGAACATCATCTTTCTCGATAAGTAATTTTCTGTTGTTTTCAACTTTTTTATACCGAAATCCCATTTTTCTAAGAATTTTTCTTAGCGTAAAGTCACATCCCTTAAAATGTATGGCTTCGGATAACTTGGACTTCAGGGCTTTAATTGTAGGTACTTGTTTGTATATCAAATGGAAATTATACACTAATCGGCGTATAACGTTGTAGTCAAAATCGTCAAGACCTAGACAAAATAATTTATTTGGTCTACCCAACTTTGCCGACTTCGGACTATTGGAGGTAGATTGATTTATGTATTCTTTTTGCAATATTTTATTTACTGTTCGTTGAGAAATTCCACTGGCCTCCGAAACTCGTTTTTGGACTTTACAAAAGTAAGCAGTATAGTTGGTATGTTTGAATTTATCATTTTCAGTTAAGAAATATAAATAAATATTGAAAATAACTTCGCAGGCTTGCCGATCTAAACGTTTCCCTTTTCTTAGTGCTTTCGGCATGTCTGTTATAAATTGTTAATGTGGATCGAATAAAACCAATGTTTATTATTTACAAAAATGACAGACAAGAGTGACATGTAAAAGGTCTATCAAAATATAGGTGGCCTGCATTAATACACGAGTCCATGAAGTTTATCACAAAATCTAACATAAATATATTTCTGTGGTATTAACTACTCTATATAGATACTTCCTCTTGCAATGCGACCTTTCCCTACGTTGTCTCGAGGGGTACTGAGTGCGAGTGAAGTAGTAAGACAAAAACGAACATTTCCGAGAAAATACGAAAGGAAAGGATTATTCACTACATCTGTAATTGAATTGATATCTACAACTAGCAGGTGATTGAACGACATCTAACCACCAAAAAGAGATTTCCAATACCTACATATAGATTGGTTCACATTTAGTTGGTTCATATAATATCAAACATACTGATTCGAAAGATTTGCAATAAGAGGTTAACTACTTTATTACACCCGAAAAAAAAATGGTAAAACTGATACAAAAGTTCCTTATATCAGGGATAGATGGCATGTTTCACAAAACAATAAATTATGCGTGGCTTAACTTCATGCTTTTTGAGCATACCTTATAAAAAAATATTTTCCTCAAAACTTTCACCGTTCAGCTTCTATTAACTCTGTTTAAAGCTTCTATAGTTTATTTTGATATAATAATGAATACAATCCAAAATTTCAAACCAGAATATCTTTAATTCGAGAGTAAACCCAAAACCAAATTTGTTCAGGAATTTAAACTCTCTTTTTCACAATTTATTTTCAAAAAACAGACGCATACAAATTATGTCTTCAGAAATTTATATGGGAGTTAGCTAATGTTCTTTTCAGATTGTATATTGACAAGTTATTTAATGGTTTAAAAGATTACACTTTTAGTCAAGATTGTTTGACCAACGACAGGTCGCCTAACTAACGTTTTTCGATCAACTACTGAGATCATGGTTTGTGATCTCTCATTGGTTGTTTTTTTTTTTTTAAAGTTTTTAGTAACGCTATTTGCGTCACTTGTAATGCCCTCTGTTAGTTAAGCCCTTCTATATCAATGTTTTTTTTATCTTGTTTACAGATGAAGATGATATATCAGTGTCATCTCTTAGTTTAGCTGAAGAAAAATCGGTTATTGAAAACGGAAATGGCGAGAAACCAGTTAACGGTGTTAAGTGAATTGTAGATTTTAAAATTCATCTTTAATTTTAAGTAGAACACGGATGTCAATTCTGATGCGATTATTTTTAAAATTTTATATTAAGTTTCAAAATGGTGTTGTCTCTTACATATTTGTTTTAAAGTTAGATGGAGAGAATGGACTATGAATGGGAATGTATTATTGAAAAATGTACAGGTCAAGGTCGACCTCTCCCGACACTCATAAACAACGCGAATGTCTGAAAGTGTTAGGAAAGGTCGACCTCGACATGCGTATATCATTCAACTAGATTGCTGTTCTCAAATTTCATGTACTAGGATAGATGATGGTTTAGCATGATGGTAACTAGACAAAACTCGCATAGAGAAACCTTTCTCACGAACTATGGCGCTACTCAAAAGTTTTTTCTTTTGAGAATTACATAACGGTCTTACCAAACGGGTAAAGGGCGGCTGTATTAGCTGGGGCTATTCATTTCCATCGTTTATTTATTCGTTTTTCGGTTTTTGACGCTCATTAGGTTAGTGGAAAAAATAGATATATAATATAAAACATAATAACAATGGTCCTATATTCCTGTTTTCATTACTACAAGATGTTATAATTTCGTTGACGCTAAAGCGCATCACGCGGAATGTTTTTATAAAAACGTTTCATCTGTAGGTAAGTTTTAAAACCTACCAACGATCGAGCTCAGGAAAAAAATTCATATCATAATAGTGTATAATGATTGCTAATATGTACGTCACCAATGATAGAGCATTTTTGAGGTACACCAAAGCAAATAAAACAACAAAAAATGAAAGAACTGTCGGTTGTCGGTGTCTGTCGGAGAGTTATAGCCATACTTCTCAAGATCTTTCAAAAATATACCAAACTATCCATTTTTTCTTCCATACAACTTGAGCCCAAAGATGTACCTCCAGTACTATCATGTATTTTCATATAAAAAATTACGACGAATTAAAAAAAAACAAAATAGAATTTATTAGTCACTTCTTATTGTATAAATGATATACATTATACTATTGTGGCACAGAACTCAGCCACGCCGACCGCGTCACTAATAGCCGCCATTAAATCCTCAAGCGTGCAGATGTTAGGGCACGCAGGGCACCATTTGATATTATGATATGATGTGATATTAGTCACTTGTACCACTCAAAATTATCGTTCGAACATATAAATGACTCAATAATTATATATGGCAATTTCTACACTTTAAACGGTAGATTCCAGCTATTGAGGTTATTTAAAAAAATAGGTCTGATCATGTTTTGCAGAGCTGTGAAAAATATCCACTACTTTTGTTTTATCATTTATTCATTACGAGTCCTGTATTATAATAGAACAATGTTTAATGAGGTTGGCTAAAAGACTATGTCCCGCGCTGTTAAACCATTTAAATCTGCCGTCCAGTAACTAAAAGGCAACAACAACACCGCTAAGTGACAAATAGTCAACTATCCGTTTTAAATAGAAAAATATAGCACACAAAATTCTCTTTTAAAAACAGTCAAAATTAATTAACTTAGTCGACTTATCGGAACGATGCACAGCTGAAATATCATTAAACAATTTCAACATTCTAAAACTGGGTTATGGTGTTTCATGATATCTCAAAAAAATATATTGTCACTTAGCAGCGTTAGCGGGTGGCAGAAATGTCACTTGATGACACGGTCGACACGTCAACGTCATTGACGGTTTTTATTCTGTTTCTGTTCTGTGTTTCGTTGGATTCGCGTCGCTAGAGTATTACTATTACTATTTGTGTTTTTAACCGATTGCAAAAAAAGAACGAGGTTCTCAATTCGTCTTATGTTTTTTTTGTATGTATGTATTTTTGTTTTTTGATTTTATTTTTGCTGGAAGGGCTTACCTCAGAAGCGGTCCCATTAAAATTTGAAGAAAATATTCCACCTCTAAGGGTGGTAAACTAGGGGATGAACGACTTTTGAGGACGGTTTTTTTAGTTCTCTGTACTGAGATTATGTTATAGTCGTCACTGACTTTTGGGTATTCTTTACGGACATTCGATCGAACCCGATTATTAGCTACAATGAAAGCTGTCAAATCACGACAATGTACGTTTCGTCAAACGCAGTATCATTTATTCATATACGAGGGTAATGACACAAGAAATTAGATTTTCAAAAATTATAAAATTTATTCTTTATTACAGGTATCGATTTTTTCAAAATATTCACCATGAACGCGTATACACTTTTCCATTCGTCTAAACCACTTAGAAAATATCGATGACCACTGTTCTTTAGACATCTCGGAAATCTCCAAGTTATAAGCAGCCAAGGCATCTTCTTTGCTTTCAAACCGCTTGCCTTTTAATTTTTCTTTAATTTTTGGAAAGAGGTAAAAATCACTAGTTGCTAAGTCAGAGAGAGATAGACACATTTTTTTAATGCAAGTAGTAGAGCATTCTAGCAGAAGTGTGCTTAACGACGTTGTCATGATGCCTGATGATGCGGTTTCCTGAATTCGGCCGCTTGTCACACCAAGATGACAACACTTTTGGGGCACAAACAAAATATACCATTCGGAGTTAACTGTCCTTTGATCCTCTAGCACTACAGTAGCAATGTGTCCCGTCATGCAGAAAAATGAGGCGACCATTTGTTTCTGTGTGCTTCGTGTACGACGACATTTCGTTGACGTCGGCTCATCTTCAAAGCACCATACAGTGGTCTGTCGCTTTTTTCAGGATCATAGTTATATATATAACCATGTTTCGTCACCTGTCAGTATTCTCGCCAGCGTCGAATTTATCTATCACAAATTTGCACAAATCCACGCGACGTTCTTTCTGCTCATCGTTAAGTTTGTGCGGAAACCATCTCAAACAGCGCATGTGGAGAGACAGTTGTCCGTGAATAATAGTTTGCAATGCTGCTGATCCAGTGCCCAATTCTCGCTCAAGCTCTACATATGTAGTTCGTCGGTTTTCACGAATTACTTTTTCGACATCTTGAACGTTTTCTTGAGTAACCGCGGTTGGCGGCCGACCTGACTTCACCTCATCTTCAAAGCTTCCCCGTCCTCTTTTAAATTCAGCAAACCAATTGAGAACTGTAGCTTGTGAACAAGCAGTATCACCAAAAGTTGTGGCTAAAAGTTCAAAACATTCTTGCGGATTTAAACCTTTTTTGTAGTCATAACAAATCATAACAGAAAATAACGTTGAGAGAGCTCCATTGTTGCGAACAAAATTCCCGCCAGATTGTTTCCGAAAAATATATATTTTTTTTAATTTATTAAGGCTTTGGCAAAGCCATCAGCCTAAACATGAAGTTTAATTATGTTTCTGTAAATATGGCACAAAGAGGATAGGCAATTTGAGGCGGCGTGCTTGGATTGACTCGGGATTCCTTAAAACGGGCCGCTACGGGTATTCTAGTTCGAGATTCGTATAATTTCGCGTTTTAATCTGCGATTAAGGCACAATCCTATTCCACTTTAAACTAGATTTCACAAAATAATTGAAAGTCAAAATAAAAACGTAACTTTTCCCTCCAAAAGGTCCAGAGCGAATCCCCGAAAAATAAATAAAAAAAGAATTCGATTTAAAACGTGTTCCATTTTCAAATTTATTAGCAAATAAGCTGCCTTTACCACGGTGTATGACTTGCCAGTATCAAACAAGTGATTAAAGAGTATCTAAGTTCTTTTGGCATGACCCTCGTAATTGTAAAAGTACATTTTTCGGCCAATTTCTGTTAAAATTAAAAGATACTTTCCTATAAGTATAATTTTAGAATTTTTTAAAATTTCAAACTACGACCAATCAATATCAAGATTTTGTAGTGTTTCAAATTAGGAATGTGTGAGTTTTGGCGACATCGGTTTTCATAGTAATCGAGACTTTTTTCTTCTGTGGAAATGCCTACGATGGTTACCTCTTTCGAGTCCAAAAGTAACTTGTTCGCCTTCACATACCCCAACAATCTACAAATGCGTCACTCGCCCTTTAGTGACATTTGTGATGGTAACCATTATGTTCAATGTGCCAGCTCAACTGATTCGCATTGTTATTCTTGTTAAAGACGTATACTGTTGTTAATAATAAGCTTTACTTGTTACTTGCACCTAGGTAGTAAGTACTAAAAATCACAACTTAGATTTTTTTTAAATATTAGACCTAAAAGATACAATATGATTATTATGTTGTACAACAACATCTTAGTGAGTAAGTGAACGTGAGTGTTATTATTAATAAGGCATCACATTTTTTTTCATTTGTTTGTAATTTTTGAAATGTGCTTAACTTTGAAATTAAACTAAGTATAGAGTTGAGTGGCATAGGACAATTTATCGCCCCTTACAATTTATATTACATTACATCACATTATATGGCCATATCCGTCGAGGAATCAACAACCGATGGGGGAAGCGAGTTCTTGAGTAGAGACCACGGCTCGACAAACGTAGTGTAGGACGTAGTGCAGGAGATGGATGCGACGAGCTGAGGACCGGGTAAAATTGGTTGAGGCCTATGTCCAGCGGTGGATGTGCTGACGATGTGGTGATGGCTGTGTTGATGGTGATATTATACGTATACCTTCGTTATTTGAGGATTAGAAAAAAGGTAAACAAAAAAACAGTGATCGTAAAACTTTTTCCTTCAGTTAACAAATTACAGTAAAGGAAAATATCGTGGGAGACCTCGCGGAGGACGCTTGCACGTTTGAACTTACCTTACTACCAAATACAGATCTAAAACGTGTCAAATAATACTACATAAATTTAAAAGTTTATTTTTGGTAAATTTATTATGTTTTTGAAAAAGTCATGGAACAAAAGTTGCTGTTTCTAATATAGTCCTGAGAGGTTGTTAATATTTTAATAATAACCTTGTATATGATGCATAATAATAGTATCACTGTGCTTACACTTAGCGCCACATCTAACGACATTCAGCTTCGTAATCTAGTCGCTTCGCATGTTTTCGATCTCTGAAAGCGCCGAAACTGGTCAGCAAATTTCTACCCTTATGCAAATGTTGGGTTTCCAATGGTCCTTTTTCTACTCAAATGCATGTGATAGTAAAAAAACTAAACGCGTGCAATAGTCGTCGAACGTAACTTTTTTGGCTTCGTCGTAAACCACGTTCAAACCAACACCGTTACGAAACGAAATCATCGGGAAATGGCGATTAAATATTCTGAAAATAAGTAATCAAATCATATATTTCGAACGAATTATCTCTTGTAAATAGTGGAGTATTTTCACAAAAAAATATATAACTATCATGGTACTAAAACATCATGATATTCAAAAAAAATAAATAATACTTCAAATAGTCGCGGGATGTGGCGCCATTGAGGACATCCTCGATGTGTGACATTGCGGTAGAACGGAATGGAACGTAATGAACTTCATGGTTAATTGTGTAACGTACATACAAACTAGATACGAGCCAAAAATCACGTCACGCGTCTTCCGCGAAATTCTCGCTCATAATTCGGCAGCTGCCTTCGGTGACGCCTGGCG